AAGCCACAGTATCAGTGATACAACTGACATGCTCGACAGTCCGCTTCGCACATCGGATGATCGGGGCCCCGTGCCCATCAACTGGGCCGTTCACATCCCAAGTGCGGGAATTCGCCAAGCGACATTGCCCGCGCCCCCGACGACTCAAAGAGCCCATCTCTTTGCACCAAGTCCACGAAATGGCGTCGGAATACCTGGAGTCAAACAATCCCGGCGAGTTCCAGAAGGGACTCATCCCAATCCTAATGTACGCCGGCCTTCTACGCTACTCGGACCTCGTCGAAATTAAGTGGCACGACATCCAGTTCGAGGAAGACGCCATGTGGCTCTTTATTCCCCGCTCAAAGACTGACCAGGCAGGAGAAGGTGCATGGGTTCCAGTAGCAGCAAGCTCAGGTCCCTTCTGCCCCGTACAGTGCACCAAGCGCTAATTGGCGGGATACAACCATGCACAAAGAGGCCCGCTCATACGAGTTTTCGGTCAAGACACCACGAGTCTCGGCACTGCCGCCACTTCACCATCCTACACAACAATCCGCAACTGGTGCAAGGAGGCATTCCAAAAGATCGGCTTAGGTCTCGAGCATCTCGGCACCCACTCCTTTCGCAAAGGCGCAGCCACTGCCGCCGCCAACTCAGGAGTACCAGATCCCTTTTTGAAACAGTTGGGACGGTGGCGCAGCGATACTGCCAAGGAGATGTACATCACCCCGGCGGTCGATCAGCTGGTCGAAGCGTCTCGACACGTTCAAGACCCGGCACGAGCCTCGTCACTAGTGCAACACTCAGCGGCCCTGATGCGACGACGACAACCTCCACTGCACATGTCTCAGAAGACCCATTTGAAATGAGACGATGCCATTGCTACATGAAAGAAAGCAAACTTTCTAAATATGAATATTTTTAAAAGTGTAACGCTTTTCAAAATTTCGTATTTTGAAAGCGAAGCAGTCTGTAATGTAGGAATGGGCAGCGACGAACCGCGCTATACGCCCGTTTTGGAGTACAAAACGTGGGCTGGAGGTCATTTCCCTCCACCCACGTCTCTCATTTTCAAACGGTTTAGCCGATTTTCCCGCCCACCCACCCCTTGAAATGTGTTAGCACATTAGTCCGATAGGCTGCTTGGATTTCAAATTGTACTAAACCCATTTGAAATGAGACGATGCCATTGCTACATGAAAGAAAGCAAGCTTTCTAAATAGTAAGAAAACAATGTTTTACTACTGGCTGACACATGTTTTTTTTGTCAGTAGATCTGCACTGTGGATGCTCGATTGATCCTATGGGGGTTACAGGCGCGTTCGCCTGGGGGGTTATGGGTGCACTCTGACCCGCTACTTAAAAAACCATTTTATCCCAGTGGTCTAGTAGTTGGGATTCTGACATGGTATCAGAGCGGTCTCGGGTTCGAATCCTGGTGTATGCACATGTAGGCCGTTGCCGTTGTGCTCAGTCCTGGGCTTCCCAGTGTGGGGGGGTGTTAGTAGATCTGCACTGTGGATGCCCGATTGATCCTAGGGAGGTTACAGGCGCGTTCGCCTGTGGGGTTATGGGCGCACTGATCCGCTACTTAACAAGCCCTTTTATCCCAATGGTCTAGTGGTTGGGATTCTGGCATGGTATCAGAGCGGTCTCGGGTTCGAATCCTGGTGTATGCACATGTAGGCCGTTGCCGCTTTGCTCAGTCCTGGGCCTCCCAGTGTGGGGGGGTGTTAGTAGATCTGCACTATGGATGCCTGATTGATCCTAGGGGGGTTACAGGCGCGTTCGCCTGGGGGGTTATGGGCGCACTGACCCGCTACTTAACAAGCCCTCCTATCCCAATGGTCTAGTGATTGGGATTCTGACATGGTGTCAGAGTGGTCTCGGGTTCGAACCCCGATGTATGCACATGTAGGCCGTTGCCGTTGTGCTCAGTCCTGGGCCTCCAAGTGTGGGGGGGGTGTCAGTAGATCTGTACTGTGGATGCCCGATTGATCCTGGGGGGATTACAGGCACGTTCGCCTGGGGGGGTTATGGGCGCACTTTGACCCGCTACTTGAAAAGCCCATTTATCCCAGTGGTCTAGTAGTTGGGATTCTGACTTTTTTTTTTTTTTTTTTAGGATGCAATACACTTATAAAAAGCGGTTACATCCACAGTCGTAACTGGAAAGGGGGAAGGGACATGGGAGACACTGAGTCCGCACTGCCCTTCCGGTAACTTCCTATGGTGGTTGGAAAGCCGTTCTCGGGCTGGACCACACCAACCTAAAGCCATCCTTCCACGTCAACGTGTCGTCGTCTTGGAAAACCCGGCTCAGCACTACAGCCTTGTCTCGCTCCAGATAGGTCCAGCTTTGCGCCTCTCCTTGGTTGACATTTTTTGCCACGTGCCGCTTGCGAGCAGTGTAGATTCTGACGAGTTTCATGAAGTTCACGCCAAATTTCCTGAGCACCCTATGTGGCTGGAACGTGTCCTGCCGAAAGGCCGCCTCGCATCGCTCCGGCCAGACTTGGTGGAAAGCCACTGCTATCAGCGGTTTTTCTGGAAACCCCGACTTTGTGCCATCCTCTGAAAACAGGAAGTCCTCCAACCTCCCCACCTCCCGTTTTGGATTCATCTGCTTCAAAGCCCCCTTCAGCGCGCCAATGACAGGCTGTATCTTGCCACACTCCAGCAAACAGTGTGCAATAGTCTCCTCCCCTCCCAGCTGTCCCCCGCCTGCAGGTTTTTACAGTGTACTCTCAGAATAACTTCCCTTGCTCTGCCCGGCGTGACCAAAGTGTCCCGCTTCCGTATCTCGCCCTTCCAGTCAATCGGCTTCCCATACTCCTGCTCCTATTTTTTCTGCTGCTTTGGCAGCTCAACCGGACCTTTCAGCTCTGCTCTCTGCTTCCTCAGTGGAGCCCCTTTCCCCTTCTCGCAGAGCACCGATAGTTTGAGCCGCGTAAGCGGGCGGCCAGATTCCCCCACCAGCACACCCTCTTCCGCGAGTAACGGAGTCAGACTGTGTACCACGAGCTGTATCTGACTGGCTCTGTTTGCTAGCAGCACCTCTCCGCTCCTTCCGACTTCCGCCGATTTTCCTAGGACCGTGCTTCCTTCGGCTGATAGAAGCTGCCATTACATTAATCTCCCAGACAGCGATCGCGTGCTGGCCAGTCTCGTCAGCTTCAGAAACTCCTCTCCCGTGAGCTTTGACAAAAGCACCATCTTCCAAAACTCCGGAACTGCTTTCCAAGCTTTTAAAGCCCATCGTGCCGTGGTTGAACTGCTCGTTTCCCTTGTCAGGTTCCATATGTCTTTGAGCTTACTCGTCCCATCCCCTTCTGCTTGTATCAGGTCACCCAGCTTCAGTTCCAGCAGACACTTCGAGCCCTTTTGTCGGCCGAAAGGGCTTTTGCCCCTGAAGAAAATATACCTGCTAAAGCAAATCCTCTCGTTCACATACTCCCAACAGTTTGCAGGTTCTGGGATATTCGCCTGCAGGGTCTGCCAGAAGGTAATCACTGTTCTCCGCCATTTTTCGCCCCCCTTTCCCCACAGTCGAAGAACTACTCGGTGCGCAAGGAGCGTCGCCCAACCAAACGGCATGCAAGCCGATTTCTCCATCAACCACCTTTTCATCGAGCCCCTCTGCTGAACTGCTTCCCCCAGGTTTTTGAGAGCCATGCACTCCACGCGTGTTGTTGGGTTAATGACACCCAAGCCCCCCTCCTTCCTGTCTTTTTAAGCCATGTCCCTACTCCACAAGACGAAGTGCCGATCCGCCGATGCTTTGCCGCTGGGCGTGAAGTTGTGCTTGGATTTACGGCACTCATTCCACGTCCCTTTTGGTGACAGATATATTTGCGCTTGGAAAAGAAGGATCGGCGTAGCATATGCGTTGAGCGCCGTGACCCTTACCGACGTGTTGACGTGCTGGTTCTGCCATTTAATCAGCACCTCCCCTGCATGATCCGCCGCTTTCTCCCACGAAGGTCCGGGATCTCCTCCCGGAGTAATCCAAACTCCCAGCAAACGCTACGGCTCTTCCTTGTCAGCCCAGGCGTACGGTACATCCGTCGGCAGAGGTAAGGCTCTGTTCTTGCCCAGAGGCACCACCACTGTTTTGTCGCGATTAATTCTTAACCCTGACTTTCCTCCAAACTCTTCCAGCAAATCGCAGGCTTTCCCAATCTGCTCCTTCCTATGCAGCACTAGTGTAGTGTCATCTACGTACCCCAAGTATCCAATTTCCCCAGTTCCTGTTTTCCGTACCCCCAGCCATCTTCTCTTGACTTCCTGGCTGAGTGGTTCTGCAGCGCAGATGAAGAGGTACGGAGCTAGAGGGCATCCCTGTCTGACTCCTCTCTCCATCCCCACTCGGTCACCCAGCCAGCCGTTGATCAGCAGCTGCGTTCCCGACTGCTCATGAAGCCCTTTTGTCCAGCTTACGAATTCTTCCGAGAACCCCAATTTTTCCAGTGTCTGTAACATGAAGCTCCTGGAGATGGAATCATATGCTTTTTGAAAATCCACCAGGAGGAGAAACCAGTCCTCGTCGCCGAGGTGATGTGATCTGCTGCCGTCATGAATGACTTGCCCTTCGCCTATCTGCAACCCGCCTGAGTGCAAACCCACTCCTCCCGATTTCCCCCAGTAGAGATCAACGCAATGGCAGGGTCCAAGAGGATGGGGGTAACAAGTGGTGATGTGCGGGTGGACGCGGCTGCGACAGACGACCCAAACGTTAGTATCAGAAGAAGGAGGTAAGAGGACTGTGAGTATGAAAGAAAGCGGATCTGCGTTACCGTTGAGCTTATGCACCCTCCCCAGATTCAAGCTCCACTTCCCTATGTTATTCTGGCGTTCGGTGACGAACATATAATGAAACTTGTCATAATGATGTCCGCCGCAGAACGTGCAGGATAGCACGGGGTAGTGAACCAAGTTCTGCTTCGAGGTATCCATTGGGTTGTTGACCACATGTCGCCAGCGATGCAGGTCACCCTGATGTGCGATCACCAGTCCCTTCACCGTATCCGTGTCAGCTCCAGATACCGGATGAAGGATACGATGGGAACAAAGGCCTTTGACAAAGGCAGGAACTTGGCGGATCTTCAAGGGATAGCGGCAGAGCATGATATTCAGCAACTCAGGTGAGGCGTTAGCAGGGACATCCTTAAAATAAAGCTTAATGACATGCTGAGTAGATGCTTCTTCCTTAAGATATGCCAGGTTTTCCGTGTGCTGCCAGAAGAGCGTAACCTTCCCTTTCGGACGCTGGAACTCTACGACCTTCGATCTCACTGGAACCGCATCTTCTTCGTGAAGAAACGCGAGTTGCAGGCGACAGAAGTGCTGCTTTGCAACGAACGTCGCTGGAAGGGTCTGGATCGTTGCTGCTTCAGCTGCTCCCTCTGAAAACGAGGAAAACCAGACCTTCCGCAGCAGCGTTCGCACCGTGTTGATGACTGCACCCAACTCTTGCTGCAGCATGAATGGTACTAGTAAGATGGCCGTGAAACGGAGGCGAGCAGCAGCCTCCTGCTGGATATCAATATCAAGCTCCTCATCGGAGTCGTCTTCCAGGAAACCATCCGATGATAACAGAGCTTTTGTCGATGCCTTCTCTGCAGGTGTTAAACCAGAGCTCCCTGCTCCCGCAGCAGACGACACTGGATGCAAGGAAGCGTCGCCAGCGTCATTGATGGCTCTCGCCGAAGCGTCAGAGGGAGGCAGAGTGACTCCAGACACATCCTTAACCGGGACCTCTTCCACCACTTGCTTCCCCTTGGCAGGTGTGCGAGGCATGGTGCAATGATGACTTGAAAACGGCTGAAAGCTTGAGATGAAGGCACAAGATGCCTGATGAGCTGGATGTCTGAGCACTGATCCATTTAATAGATGGGAGCCTCGAGCCGCGAGCCGCTGCTCTTGTTGGGGATGATGATAGGCTGCAGTGTGGACCCTGGGGAAACCCTTCATTAGCGATAACCATTATCTTAGAGACCAATAGGAGTACGCTTTGTTGGCCTTGTTGTTGTTGTTCCGCGTAGCCATTGATACTGACGTGCATGCTGGCTCAGCCTTGGGCCTTGTTAAAAGAGATAACAGCAGGTCAGAACTTGAGGTTGATACAGTGTAGATAACAGCAGGTCAGAACTTGAGGTTGATACAGTGTTTGTCAGTTGAACACCTAGTTTGTACCAAGCTCTTCGTCTTAACGAGGCGAGTACATGTCAGAGGTCCACTGGTGATCCCCGATTGATACTAGGGAAGGGTTACAGGCTCGTTGTCCTGGGGGGTTATGGGTGCACTCACCCGCTACTTAACAAGCCTTTTTATCCCAATGGTCTAGTGGTTGGGATTCTGACAGTACAATGCTTTAATTCTTAAAGCCAACTGATAAACATGCTTCACACAATGCGCTTGTCAGGCAAGTGTCAGGCAGCCATGGCGGAGAGCTATAGAACATTGTCATTGGGAGAATCAGCTTCGAGTGTGGTGTGGGCTGACACATGTTCTGTAACTACCAAACTAGTCAGCAAGTACTACCAAACTAGTCAAACGTAGCTTTGGCTAAGCATTTGGCAAAAGCTTGCAATCTAGAAACGTAGTTATGGCTATGTATAAGGAGAACGCTTGCAATCTAGAAAAACAATTCCATGAGTGGTCATACCTTGCACGCCAGATTCACCACTGCATTGCCCCTGCATGACGTTCAGGCAACAGGCCCACATGGCATACAGGGTTTGAAATCAGAAGAGTGAAGCTGGAAGTGACGCAGTAAAAAAGGAAAGTTATTAAAATTGCAGTACAAACGATGAAATGTCCTGCTTGTGGCTGGTACCTGTGTCTCATATGTCCTCCAAACACCTTGGTAGCGCCAGTTGATGAGTAGGACCAGATGAGCGTGTTGAGCCCATTGTACTTCACTGGTACTGACCCGCCAGGCCCGCTCCTCGTGAACCTGTTAACAAAGGGGAAGTAAGGAATCCAGACTCGAAAACCGTTTATGACGCGCGAGGGCTCGTAAGGAAATTGATGTATTAGCACACACAAAATGTAAGGCCGCTGTACATTCAGATAGGCTCATCAACCGCACGTTCAAACGGTGGAATGATGTGAGAAGTTTATGAGGTGGCGTGATACGGTAGGAAATGACAAGCGTACTAAATATGACACAAAGCGATTATGTAACAGTCACAGGAGACAGGGTCGATCCACCAAGGCTCACCTCACTACTGTGCCGCTCTTCGTGACTGTAACGGAGGCGTTCGCGATTCTGAAGTTGTCCGCCATGGCATACGTTCCCATGGTAAGGCTCTGCATGTTAAACGCTCCCACCAACGCGCCCTTGTGCTTGCCGCCCTTGCCCACGTTACCGCTGCCAGGGTTGCTACTGTTACCACTGTTACCACTTTTCGTGCTGTTCGTACTCCCGCTTCCAGCCCCGCTGCCCTTCTTCCCAGTCCCACCGCTCTTGGTGCCGTTTCCGCTCTTAGTACCGTTGACACTTAGGTAAGCAATTGGCCTTGGTTGCGGACCGCCGATTCCCGGCTTGGAGCCCACGGGAAGCTTCTTATTGGTGGACGGAACGTAATTTCCGAGAACTACATCGGACCCCGTCATTTTGCCTGTCTTGGAGAAGCCTATAGCGAACCATCCCTTGCTGGCGCCTCCATCAGCAACGTTCCTCGCTTCCACTGCTGCCTTGAGAGTCGAGCCCTTCACGTTGAAATGAAAGTACAGCCTGCGAGGAGGGCCCGTGCATCATGATCAAGGGATAAATGAGGGAGGAAGAAAGTGACTTTCACGTCGGCTCAAAATCCATTAGCGCACTTTAAGAATGGAAGTGGTACGAAAGTAGCACGGAAGTATTGGAGGGATGAGAGGCTCCATACTGCGGCGAATTTAGTGAGAAAAAGGCTTTGATATCGAGCGATTGAAGGACGAGGACGCACCCTGCGTAGTCAGCAAGCGTGATCATCGCCGTGTAATCCGACAAGGTCGACGCAACACACTTCTCCGGCTTCTGCTGCTGCTGCTGCCCCCCCTGCGATCCTGGTCGGATCCCCAGCAAATCTCGCTCCCTTACCCTCGTTTCACGCATTTCCTTCTCCTCCGCGAGTCTCTCCGCCGCTGCCATATCCCCCCCGTCAGCAGTCACTTGTTTCCCGTCATGAGATTCAGGCCCACGACCCAGGAGGCCCCTCTGCAGCCCTAGGCGGCCGAAGAGCGTTTCGTCCGGTAAGTCCCTTGCCTCGGCCAGCTGGAAAAATCCGCGGGCGCTGCGGGCAGAGTGAAGACTTCCCTGCCCGCCGGGTGTTGCTGGGATATCCGAAGTGGACGATAAGAGCAGTATGAGAAGCAATGCGCTGCTAGATGCGAGGGTGAACGGGCTGAGTTGAAATCTGACTGACGGATGACTAGGTAAGAACGCCATCGGGAAGGTTCTCGACTGAAAGCGCCTTCGTGAGATACGCGACAGAGACAAGGTGAAAATAGAAACGGATGAACAGATAGAGCTAAAACACGAGTTATGAAAACCAAGGGAGAAGGTTCAGAGACAAGACCAACGCTTCTTCGCTCTCTAATGCGTTGAAGGACCGTTGCCCGTATTTCAGAATGAAGATGGCTCGGTGGAAAGGAAGCGATATTTGGTCCCTTCTCGTGCTTCTGAAGATTAAGATAAGCGGTCGTTTCGACTATGTCAGCTATTCATGTGCCGGCTATGTGCCTGAGAAGTGACTTTCCTTGTCCCGCAACAAAGGCTGGTTGTTCCGTTTTGAGATGAAACTCATGATGTGAGTGAAGCAATGGGTGGGTGACTGGACGGTTTGTTCGAAGAAAAACTGGGTAGGCGGAAAAGGATGGGCACGAGAATTGTGCTTCTCGAAATTGCAAGTCCGACTGCGAAACGGGCGCGCGACTCGCTTATACACTCCGCGGTTCGGTGTTTTTTTCGTGAATGTCCTCGCCAAAAAGTGACCTCTCCCTGCTGCTGGTTAGAGTCTTGACGGTCGTTGGAATTTGACCAATCTGTGCTCTCCCATGTTTTTTCTGTCGGTGAAACCCAGAAAAAGTTTGCACATCGACGGCTTTGGCTGTCGCCGTTACCACCAGAACTTGGTTCTCGTTTGGCGGGAAACGTAAACCCTGAACTGGGAGAGTTTGGCCCGCCTGAAGGCAGGAATCTTGTGGCTTGCAGCACACTAATGCTCGCTGTGTTGCAAGCGTCATTGATGTATAACGGCGTTCATAAACAAGTTAAACAGGCAGGAATCTTATACCTTATGCCCGACTGGAGTGGAACATAATTGAATAGCTTCATTAGGGCCTTTATTGCTACCACCTAATCCATTTTTAAGAGATAAATGCTCAAAGAGTGCTTCTCGTCCTTCGACTTCGCTCGTCCGAACCCGTATCAAAGCCCCCCTCACATTTGGCATCCATGCCTAGCTTTTTATAGCTCCTAGCAACAGTTTTCCTGCCTGTATTCTTGATTTTACTCATTCATCTGTAAAAAATTATAACACTGTATTTGGGATCACAGCCATTTTCCAAAATGTACAAGGTTTCAGTATATGAGTGCTTTTCAAGGAAGATGTAGAGAAAAGACATATCAAGTGTACAAGCTTGATACCCCCCTTATCAGTGCCTGGAATTTTGCTGACCAATGAAATGGGTGGACATCACGACTGTTTTGGGTTGAAAGAAAATGGTTGTAGGTGGATGCTGCCAATCACTCTCCCCTGGTCGGCTCGGAAGAATCACGGTTCGTCGTTTGCAGTCGCGTCGCTTTGACTGTTCAGGGCTCGAATCCAAGCACCGCGAAGCGAATGGGCAAAAGAATTTCGGTGAGCGCGTTCGCAATAAAAAGTTGCGACAGATGGGAGGAAAGGGAATGCAGCTTGCGAAAGGTCAGTACAATGGCGGTTGAATGACACAGTGGCCGTTCACACCCCACGCTCAAACAAACTTACCGCCAGGTCAATCTCCACATGTCAATAAACGATTCGACCGCAAGTGCACGTCGGCGGGAGAACGGATGCTGCCTTGTGGAAGTGAATGGGTTTTCCGAATCCCCTCCCGACATAACACCCCTGGTGCGCGCTTTCAGCACGACGTCAGTGTGTCACCGACACGCCATACCCATGCCGACGCGCCTCGGGCACGGCTTTGCCAGGGAACTGAACCAAGTTTCATCCGCGTCAAACTAAGCTCCATCCAAGCCGCCCCGCACCCCACCGTTGACACTCACAAGAGTAACCGATCACGATCGGCCATACACAACTTTACAGTCTTGGGAGTCCACCACACACGTTTTATATCTTCCCTCCTGAGCCTTTTCTCATAAACACAGCGCACCAGTTTCCCAAAAGCCGCCTGCTTCACCTTTCCCAGTACTGCTGTGTTTCGCGTTTCCCATCCGCCAGTTCTCGCCTCCGCGTCCAACGAGTCATCCCGTCGCCGCCATGGCTAGACTTCACTCAGTTCACCAGCATGGTCTGGCGCGTTTCGCGTCCCTCGCCGTCCTCGCACTGGTCTTGGTTGGAGGCTTTTCAGATGGCCTGCTTGTGTCCGCCGCGCCAGTGGTTGTGGCATGCTCCAAGTCGAAGCTATACCCTGGTTACGCTGCGGTCACTCTCAAATCTGGGTACGGTCCAAATTTTTTTAGTCGAGGCTAATGTTTCTGTTTCGCGAAAATGTCGAATTGATAATCTAGAGGGTAAGGTCAAGTCTGACTCGATGTGTTTCGTTCAGCATCCACGCACGGCTTGCCTACATTGCGGCGTCGCAGCAATGTCGCACAGCTTGTGGTGCATCGCGACATACTTCAGCAATGTCGCACAGCTCAATTCATTGTGACATCGCTCGGTGCCAGTGGCCTCCATCCGCCGTTGTATCCAAGTTGGCTTTTCAGTCAACTCGGAAGTCACCCCTGCCGTACCGTTGTACAAACGAGTTATGCGGTTAAAGATGATCATTCAGGCGATCCTAAAGTCGACTAGGTTTGGTACCTCCTCCACCCTTGTTTCACCTTTGATCACCTCGTATCATCTCGAGTCGCCTCTTATCACCTTGTCGTTTCATTGTTTCTTATCTCCAAATTCCATCGCTAACCCAGCCATCCCCGCTCATCATGGAAGGAAATGAACAATCAAAGCTCATTCCGACGTTTACTGTGCCATCCCTCGAACCTGCCCCGTGTCTCCTTTGATCAGGCTATTGCTTCACTGGAAGGCCGTCAACCCAACCACCATCGATTTCGCGTTGGAGGCAAAAGCTGCGAGCAAAGCCCACAAGGGCTGGCTGTCCGTCGGATTCTCCACTGCGGGCAAGATGACCGGCTCAGATGCGGTGATCGGCAACCTGCCCGGCGTGAAGAAGATTGATACGTACTTCATGAAGAGCATCGCGAAACCCGATGTGACGCCGACGAAGAAGTTCGCGATTACAAAGACGAGCGTGGTTACCAACGCCCAGGGAACCATCATGAAGTGAGTGCTCGTCCTTAAGCGTGCTTTACACATGTTCGACTTTCAACATTTTTATCCTCGCACATCTCAATCTAAATTCTCTCTTCATCTGCTTTTCTTAGTTTTTCTAAAACGCACGACGTTAGTTTTTCCTCGGCCATTCAAACAGGTTTACCCGCTCTGGCTCTACGGGTACTGTCCCTGTGAAGTATGGTGCGAAGAACACCCTTCTGTGGGCCTATTCCGCTTCTGGCGCGTCCAAGGTCCTGGACAATCACACTCCGATGAACAGGTACTGTACAGTACTGTACCGCACGGTTTTGATTCGAGATTCAACTACTAAACCATATACGCACGTTTTAGCTGCAATATCTTTAATGTTCGATTTCACTCACGACTGATTTCCAACTTCCTCTTGTTTTTCTGTACAGAGGAGCCGTGATTGTCAACTTGGGCTGCAAGGTGTAAGACGACATCATTGTGTAGGAGAGAGAGACGTTCGTCTGCAAAGATAGTAGTTATCTAATGGTGAAATCGCTTCCATGCAAGAATGCGGTAGGACAGTTGCAGGCTGATGCTTCCCTAGATGTCACCATTCTTTTTTATAAATAGCGTATTGGGGCGAATCATCGCAATTCCTCACTCTCATGGACTGCCAAGGTGGTACGGTATGAAACTCCACCATAGCGTGAACAGCGTTTCCAAAGGGCATCTGAACCGGTGGATGCTTGTGGCGTCTGAGTGGGATGCTGTCAAGGCGTCCTCTGCAAAGAAGCTGTCTGACCCATGGATAAACGGCATGAATTTAAAATCGGTGCGCTCAATGTCAATGGACTAGGTAGTGCGGAGAAACGGGAGTGCCTGCAAGAGTGGCTTAACAAATCCAGGGGACAGATCATACTCACACTCACTAGTCACTAGGTTACTGGTGGATCATAACCAGGGGCATTTTTTCAAGGGTGATTTGCCCTGATTCCCCTTTCTGAAAGCTGTTTTTTTTTACATTTACCCTGATTTTGTAAGGCCAGCTGATTTGCATCCCTTTCCCAAAAAGTGTAGGAAATTTTACACCATGTTCTTGTCAGGGTTGGTGTTTTGTTACACGTTCCAGTCAGTGTTGGTTGAAAAGTACCCTTTTACCTAATCATTGTTTCTGGAGTTTCTCGCGTAACTGTACTCAGATTAAAGCATTCCGCCCACCGACCACATGTGCTGTCAAGGTGGACGGTTCTGTTTTTTCTTCCTGGCTTTACCATTCGAACTGGCGGCAGCTTTGGCTGCTAGCACTTAATTGTCTTGTTGCACTTGGATGTGCTTGCCTGCCTGTGGCTCCTCCTACCTGTGCTTATCTGTGTTGTATTGTGAGGGACTTCGTATGCTTCTTGGAAGGCAGTTTCAATCGTCTCAGGTCATTCACATCTGTTCCACACACACCTGTGACTCACGCGTAGAACTCGAGACGAGGATGACGAAGACGCGCTACCGTATCAGGCCAGAAGTTATAGTATGGCCATAACTGTTAACGGGAATGGAGTGTTGGCCCCGCCCTCGCTTGGGCAACGCCGACGACTTGGTCGGATGTACGGGAGTAGCAGCCGACCGTTCACAGTGGGAGTGCTGCTCGACAGGCTTCGTCGAGCTGCAGGGGACTGCTGTGGTGTTGCTGTCGACTAGGGAGCTCGACAGCTGCAACTGACTGGTCTGGGCGACGGGTGGGCCGTCGACCAGGAGGGGCAGTTTGACCGGGAGGTCGACGGATTGCAGTTTGACCGGGAGGTCGACAGAGCAGTCCGCCGACCTGCAGTTCGACTGGGAGGTCAACGGAGCAGTCCGTTGACTTGACAACTGAGCAGCGGTCGACAAGGGGAGCTCGGCGACAACCGCTGACAGTTCTGGTCGACGGAAGGGGTTCCGTCGACCAGGGGGTAGCTCGACGGGAGCTGTGGTCAACCAGGGGCACCTGGTGGTCGACCAGAGGGACCCGGTGGTCGACCAGAAGCACTTGGTGGTCGACCAGAGCACATGGGGTTGTCCAGGTCGACCGGGTAATCTACTCGGCGAGTTCTGCGGAGGCACGCGAACGTCGTCGAGGTCGCAATGGCGAAGGCGACTTCGGGTTGGTATCTCGAAGTCGATGTGGCTCATCAGGCGCAGAGAATAGCCGACAGATGCACAACGGTGCAAGTCGGGCCAATCGTCTGCGCGCACCTGCGAGCGTGCGCATTGCTGTCTTCTACGGGGCAACGCTGGACAGCCGCTCCGCTGCAGTGTTGGCACACCGTCGACCTGCTGTGTTGGCAGGTCGCCTTTCTGCAATGCTGGCGCGGCTCCTCTACGTAACACTGGCAGGCGGTCGACCATGCTATGCTGTCGGTCGACCAGGCTAACTGCAGAGTTGCTAGGTGCCTGATGTAGTCATTATTGTCATTGCTTGTTCAACAATTTTGTAATCCCAAATTTGCAAGTGAAAACTCTTGCCGATTTTTTCCGTGATTGTGCAAGCACTAAGGAACTAGGCAAAGCTACGATCACTCCTAGTAGTTCGTGCCAACCCCCGTAGTCTAGCTCACTACCGTTGTAGAGTGAATGTCCGTAATAACAGTAGACGCTACACCCTAAACAAGGTACGGTACTTTGGCAAATTTCTAGAAAACACCCTTACACAATCAGTGTGCGAAAACATTTACCCTTATGGGGACAGGGTGGAGGAAAAACCATCTTGGCAGTCAGGGTGATGTCACCATAGCACCCTGATAGTTAAAGGTGTGCTAAAACCAAAAATAGCCCCTGAAATAACCTTTGGACTCAAACAGGGTCAGAGGCAGCAGCGGTAGTTGCATCGGCAGACACGGCAGGTGGGGTGGCAGCACTTAGCTTTAACAAATAAGTGTTTTTTGAGGACGTTCGGCTGCATGAATCAGGGAGGCTGATAGCGGTGTGAATAAGCTGGAGGGAGCTACTAACAACTTGCTGCTAACAGGAGACCTTAATGTGGTGGCAGATCCAATCATGGATAAGACTTCACAGAAAGGGTCGGATGCGGAAAATCAGAGGATGCTGAGAATATGCTTGAGATGGGATTTGAGGGACACCTTCAGAATGCTGTACCCGACGAGGCTGGAGTTTACCTTTCTCTCAAGGTCGACGATGACAAGCTCGCGTATTGACCGCGCGCTGGTGTCGCTCTCCATGCTTCCGCTGGTTGCGGATGCGTATCACATGGCGTCCCCGGTGGGAGTTATAGACCACTGGTTTGGCATCACCACGGTGTTGACGGCGTCAACTGGTGAGGAGTGGGGCCAAGGGCTATGGAGAATGCACGCTGCGTAGGCGAAGAGTCCGGGGGTATGGAAAATAAAACAGGAGGTCTTGCAAAGTCAGAAGGGAAGCGGTGGTCAAAGGGTGCAACTTACGCTTACCGTGCTGCAGGCAAGCCTTAGAGCTCACGCAGGGGAGGAGAGGAAGAGGATTGGCAAAACGCTTGCTCACCTGGAGGACAGAGTGGCGGCCCTGAGACAGAAGTTATGGCGGACACCAGTTTGGGAGGAAAATATGAGGAGTTTGTCAAATTCGAGGCGCAGCTCAAGGGATACAGGGACAGTCAGAGGAAGCGGAAGCTAACAATGGCAGGAGTGGGTGAAGAAATGGAAGGGGAAATCACGACAAAATATCTGACAAGGAGGATAGTGTCAAGGAAAGCTAAAACAACGATTAAGACGGTGATGCACAGCGAAAACAGCTACGAAGGGGAGAGAGAGATCCTGGCGGCGGTGTCAGAATTTGTCTCCAAAATCTTCGGAGAAGGACCGCAGCGTGATGAGGTGGAGGAGTGGCCGATGGATCCTCGGAAGGTACTGAGCGAAGAAGGGGTGCGTAGGCTTTCTGCACCATGGTCGGAGGCAGAAGTAAAGAAAGCGATGAAAGAACTTCCAAGAGGGAAAGCACCGGGAGCAGACGGCTTGCCGAAAGAGCTGCTGGAGGATAACTGGGACATGTTGGGGGACACGGTGATGGAGTTCATGAGAGATTTTGAGGCAACTGCGAAGCTGCCGGAAAGCTTCTCTACAGCAGTAACTATTCTTTTAACCAGAAAAAGGAGAGAAGACAGATCTGGGGAACTATCGTCCTATTACGCTACTGAGCGCGGTCTACAAGATCGTTGCGAAGCTGCTGGCGAACAGAATGAAGAAAGAATTACCTCAGGTCATTTCGGAAAATCAGTTTGGCTTCGTCCCGGGCAGGCGCCTTGCGGATGCAGTCAAGGTGGTGGCTGATACGATTGATGCAGTGGCGCTGGGGAAGGAAGACTGGTACTTACTGCTCGTTGACTTTAAGAAAGCTTACAAATCTGTGTCGCGCAACTTCCTCTTCTACACGCTGGAACGCATGGGCTTCCCGGAGGCTTTCGTCAAGTGGTCCAGAGGACTTCATGAACAAGCAGCGACGCAACTGCTGATCAACGGATGGCTGGGAGAGAAGGTGGAGGTGGGGTCGGGGGTACGGCAAGGGTGCCCCTTCGCACCGTACCTCTTCATCTGCGCAACAGAGCCATTAAGTAAGGAGGCAAAAAGGAGAAAGCTAGGGTTGCGGAAAAAGGGGAAAGGAGAGCTACTGTACCTAGGGTACGCGGATGATACGACGCTTATACTCCAGGGCAAGGAGCAACTTGGAAAGGCGCAGTCATTGTTGAAAGACTTAAGTGACAGATCCGGGCTGCATGTCAATCAAGGGAGGTCGACGGTGATGCCGTTGGGGAAGAACAGGGTGTACCCCCTGCCTGCAGACACAAGCTTCAGCTGGGCAGAAAGGGACAAGCCGGAGAGGCTGTTAGGCATCTGGATTACGTCGGACGGAAATGCGGAACAAACGTGGGAAAGAGCGATGGTGCGGGTTAACACGATCCTGAGCAACAGGGAGAAATTGGATCTGACCACATCGGTGAGGGTAACGGTCTTGAACGCATATGTGATGCCGGTGGTACTTTTCCAGGCACAGATTTATCAACCCCCGAAGCAGATCTGGAAGAAAATCCTGAAGCTATGTCATAAATTCATCTCGAAAGGGTGTGCGGATGTGGGAAAGCATTTCATCCTCTGGAGTACTTGGCTCACCTGGGAAGGAAAGATGGGGGGCTGGGGGTGATCAGTCCGACGGGGAGAATCAACAGTCAAGCGCTGTGGAATCAGGGAGCAGTCTTACTGGAGGAGAACCCGATGAAGCAGTGGTTGCTGGGGAAAGCGTCGAACATGCCTCTGGGGTGGGCTACGCTGCTGGCACACAAAGCAATCCTTGCAGAATGGACATGCGGCAGTGAGCGCTGGAGAATTAAGGATCTGTGGACTCTGACAAAACAAACGGGAAGGTCGTCCACGGCGAGGTGGGCGCTCATGGCCTGGAAAGCAGTACCAGAGAGCTGGAAAATAAAGTTGCTCGCGAGGGTATCGGCGGCGGAAATCACCAAGGCTACCACCGTGGTGAAGGTGGGGAAATCGACGGTGGGGAGGCAAAATTACTTGCAAGTGGCGCTGGCGGAAAACAAAGAATTGAAGTGCAAAAGAGTGGAGGTAGATAACAAAGGAAAAATCAGGCAGCTGGGAGAAGTGGCGCAGCTGTCAGAGGTCCACTGGTGATCCCCGATTGATCCTAGGGAAGGGTTACATGCTTGTTGTCCTTGGGGGGTTATGGGCGCACTGACCCGCTACTTAACACGCCCTTTTATCCCAATGGTCTAGTGGTTGGGATTCTGGTATGGTATCAGAGCGAAGGTCTCGGGTTCGAATCCCAGTGTGTGCACTTCGGGCATCCTAGTGCGGGGGGGTGTCAGAGGTCCACTGGTGATCCCCGATTGATCCTAGGGAAGGGTTACAGGCTCGTTGTCCTTGGGGGGTTATGGGCGCACTGACCCGCAAAACAGTTATATGTTTATATGTTTCTAGGTTGTGTAGGGGTTATCCCCAGAGGGTACAACTAGATTTACTCGACACTCTTGTACCCCCCCCTCCTCACCTAATCCACGATCACTCTCTTTCTTCCATTTTGCCTTGCTCTACTCTCTCGACACCAATGCTAGCTCCTAGAACCCTAGCTATGGTTCCTACGTTAAACTACCTACTTTCGACATGGTATTAAGAGCTGATACGACCTCTTTGGGCCCACCACCTGCTGCCCTACGCGCCACCCTCGTGTGGCCCTTCTCTCGACATTAGGCTCGTGCCCGTCGCCCCTAGGCCCCGGCCCCGTCGCCCCTAGGCCCGTCGCCCCTCGGCCCCGTCGCCCCTAGGCCCCGGTCCCGGCCCGTCGCCCGTCGCACGTCGCCTCTAGGCTCCGGCCCCCAGCCCCGTCGGCCCCTCGCCCCGTGCCCGGCCCCGTTCCTAGCCCGCGCCCGGCCCCGTCGGCCCCTCGCCCCGCGCCCGGCCCTGTTCCTAGCCCGCGCCCGGCCCCGTCGGCCCCTTCCCAGCGCCCGGCCCCGTACCTAGCCCGCGCACGGCCCCGTCCCTAGCCCGCGCCCGGCCCCGTTCCCTAGCCCGCGGCCCGTCGACCCCAGCGCCCGGCCCTGTCCCTAGCCCAGCGCCCGGCCCCGTACTTAGCCCGCGCCCGGCCCCGTAACTAGCCCCGCGCCCGGCCCCGTTCCGCGCCCAGCACCCGGCCCCGTACCTGCCCAGCGCCCGGCCCCGTCCCTAGCCCAGCGCCCGGCCCTGTACCTAGCCTGCACCCGGCCCTTTACCTAGCCCCACGCATGGCCCCGTACCTAGCCCCGCGCCCGGCCCCGTTCCTAGCCCAGCGCCAGGCCCCGTACCTAGCCCGCGCCCAGCCCCGTCCCTAGCCTGCGCCCGGCCTCGTTCCGCGCCCAGCGCCCGGCCCCGTACCTGCCCGCGCCCGGCCCCGTGCCCTAGCCCGCGGCCCGTCGACCCCAGCGCCCGGCCCCGTCCCTAGCCCACGCACGGCCCCGTCCCTAGCCCGCGCCCGGCCCCGTTCCGCGCCCAGCGCCCGGCCCCGTACCTGCCCAGCGCCCGGCCCCGTCCCTAGCCTGCGCCCGGCCCCGTACCTAGCCCCACGCACGGCCCCGTACCTAGCCCCGTGCTCGGCCCCGTCCCTAGCCCAGCGCCCGGCCCCGTACCTAGCCCGCGCCTGGCCCCGTCCCTAGCCCGCGCCCGGCCCCGTTCCGTGTCCAGCGCCCCGCCCCGTACCTGCCCAGTCGACCCGTCGCCCCGTCGCCCCTAGCTATGGACCCTCGCGACCTGTCGCCCCTAGCCGCGGCCCCGGTGCCCTGTCGCATCATGGAGGGTAAGGGGGTGGGAAGAGGGGTGACGGCTTCCTGCCTTCAAACAGGGGTGACGGCTTCCTGCCCACGTGCCCTGCAGTCGCACGTGCAGCTCCACCCCCGCCCCCCTCCCCCCCCTCCATGGGGACGGGGGGGAGAGGGTGTGAGGGGGTGGCGGATGTGCCTCAGCAGCAGCAGCTGCCGCCACGCCTCCTCCTCTCTCTCTCCCTGCCGTATTTTGTGTTGGGAGGGGGGGGGGGGGGGGTTGGAGGTTCAGGGGGAGGCAGGAGGGGATCTGCAGCACCAGCACCCCCCGCCCCCCCTTTCTCCTCCATTTTTTGGGGGTGAAGGATTGTGGAGCAGCAGTGGGGGGGAGGGGATCTGCAGCACCAGCCCCCCCCGCCCCCCCCTTCTCCTACCTCCCCCTGCTGTGGGTGCAGTAGTGGGGGGGAGGGGATCTGCAGCACCAACCCCCCCCGTCCCCCCCCTTCTCCTTCATTTTTGGGGGGTGACGGATAGTGAGCAGCAGTGGGGGGGAGGGGATTTGCAGCATCACCCCCCCCCCCCCCCCCCCCCCCCGCCCCCCCTTCTCCTCTCTCTCTCCCTGCCGCACCTTGTGTTGGGAGGGGGGGAGGAGCTTGGAGGTTCAGGGGGAGGCAGGAGGGGATCTGCAGCACCAGCCCCCCCCGCCCCCCCTTTCTCCTCCATCCCTGGGGGGTGAAGGATTGTGGAGCAGCAGTGGGGGGGAGGGGATCTGCAGCACCAGCCCCCCCCGCCCCCCCCTTCTCCTACCTCCCCCTGCTGCGGGTGCAGCAGTGGGGGGGAGGGGATCTGCAGCACCAACCCCCCCCGTCCCCCCCCTTCTCCTTCATCCCTGGGGGGTGACGGATAGTGGAGCAGCAGTGGGGGGGAGGGGATTTGCAGCATCAGCCCCCCCCCCCCCCCCCCCCCCGCCCCCCCCTTCTCCTCTCTCTCCCCCTGCTCCACTTTGTGTTGGGAGGGGGGGGGGAGCTTGGAAGTTCAGGGGGAGGCAGGAGGGGATCTGCCGCCCTGCGCGCCCTGCTGCCCTGCAGCCCTGTGCGCCCTGCTGCCCTGTGCAACCCGCATGCCCTACTGCCCTGCGCGCCCTGCTGCCCTGCAGCCCTGTGCGCCCTGCTGCCCTGTGCGCCCCGCGCGCTCTGTAGCCCTACTGCGCCCCGCGCGCCCTACTGCCCTGCTGCCCTGTGCGCCCCGCGCGCCCTGCTGTCCTGCTGCCCCGCGCGCCCTGCAGCCCTGCGCGCCCCGCGCGCCCTGCTGCCCTGCAGCTCTGTGCGCCCTGCTGCCCTGCAGCCCTGTGCGCCCTGCTGCCCTGCTGCCCTGTGCGCCCCGCGCGCCCTGCAGCCCTGCGCGCCCCACGCGCCCTGCTGTCCTGCTGCCCTGTGCGCCCTGCTGCCCTGCAGCCATGTGCGCCCTGCTGCCCTGCTGCCCTGTGCGCCCCGCGTGCCCTGCAGCCCTGCGTGCCCCGCGCGCCTTGCTGTCCTGCTGCCCTGCGTGCCCTGCGCGCCCCGCGCGCCCTGCAGCCCTGCTGCGCCCCACGCGCTCTGCTGCCCTGCCGCTGCCGCTACAGCCCTTGCTGTTGCCGCTACAGCCCTTGCTGCTGCCGCTACAGCCCCTGCTGCTGCCGCTACAGCCCCTGCTGCTGCCACTACAGCCCTTGCTGCTGCCGCTACAGCCCTTGCTGCTGCCGCTACAGTCCTTGCTGCGGCCGCTACAGCCCTTTCTGCTGTCCTGCGCGCCCCGCGCGCCCTGCAGCCCTGCACGCCACGTGTGCCCTGCTGTCTTGTGCGCCCCGTGCGCCCTGCTGCCCTCTGCACGCGCATCTGCAGCCCCATGCGCAGCCCCTACCCCGCTCCCCCCCCCCTCCCCCCCTTTTCTCCTCCCTCTCCCTGCTGCACGTGCAGCAGTTGGGGTGCAGGGGAGGGGAGGGGAGGGGAGGGTGTGAGGGGGAGGTTGCACCTCCAGCGCCAACCTGCCTCCTCTCTCTCACAGCCGCACCTGCTGCTGTGGGGGGGAGTGTGAAGTGGTGGGGAGGCTCAGGGGATGTGGGTGGTGGGTGACACAGCTGCAGCAGCTTAGCATTCTAACAGTCTTGTAACTGCTGTTCGGTTTGGCTATCCCCTCCTTCACCTATGGGGGTGTGTCAAAACAGTTATATGTTTATATGTTTCTAGGTTGCGTAGGGGTTATCCCTACAGGGTACAACTAGATTTACTCGACACTCTTGTACCCCCCCCTCCTCACCTAATCCACGATCGCTCTCTTTCTTCCATTTTGCCTTGCTCTACTCTCTCGACACCAATGCTAGCTCCTAGAACCCTAGCTATGGTTCCTACGTTAAACTACCTACTTTCGACAACAGCCGCCTTCATTACTGAATATCCTAACTCCGATGGTGTTCAGAGAAGGCTGTGTGTTGGGCCAAGCAGGGGACCCAGTGACGCGCATGTGACGCGCATGCGTGCTTCTTTCCTGTGGGATGAGGGAAAAACATCGGCGCAACGGAAGCTAAGACATCTACTCAGGAAGCCTACCACTCAACCCAAGCAGCAGAAAAAATGGGAGGAGACCTGGGGAAGAAAGATTGACAGGGGGAAGGTCGTTGCGAAGAGGGACTCGATTGCAATCCCGGCTAAAGCGAGGGAAGTACTGTTGAGGCTGCACAACCACAATTTGCAAGTGGGCAGCAGGTTGGCCTTCTTTGGATCCCGTGCATGTTGCCCATACTGCGGGCAGGAGGAGTCGCCAACGCACTGCCTGATGAGCTGCCCGGTCGTCACCGGGTCTGTGGCGCGCATCAAGATTCACTCCAGCTAATCAACTCTGGAAGGGCGGTGGGGTCACTTGGAGAGCTGTTATTCACTGAGGACAGCGCAACATCCGGTTTTCCGGAGTCCACACTTATTGCGGTCACATTCAGACACATCTGGCTGGAGAGGTGTGACGCGGTCTTCCGTAAGAAAATTTCGAGCCTAAACGGGTGGTCAGGAAGATTTGGGCCAATTTCAGGAGGCACGTTCGGATCTACAGTGAAGGGAGCAGCGGTAAGGGAGGCCAGCATGGAGGAAAGGATAAAGGGGGTTGGCAACATTTGACAGCTGGAGAGGCGGCAGCGCTGAGCCGTATATGTGAACAGGACGAGCAACTGACGTGGAGCAAGGCCTTCAGATCGATATGAGAGAGACCTAGCACCTTCTTTGAGCCGCCGTAAATCAGTGTAAGGAAGGACAGTGCAGACCTGATAAGGTTGGCCTGTGCCTTCCTCTCTTACAGTTACGACTGTGGATGTATGCATTGTATAATGTACTACGTCCAAAAAAAAAAAAAAAAAAAAAAAAAAAAAAAGGGCATCTGAAAAGAAATTGCGTGGTCGGTTCTTGGCAAAGCTAACTGACCTTAAATCAAATACCAGTAGCTATGGACAGCAGCAAGTGTCTTGTTTATGCTATGTCTGCCTGGTCAACAATGAATCTTGGAACAATTGCTCTTTGAAAGAGGAGAGTTCCAGGGTTCAGCATACATAACTAAAAAAAAAATCAATCAACAAATGTGCCTTCTCACCTCGGGAATACCTTCAATCAACTTGTAACCATATTGCCATGGAGGCAATATGGTTACGGCGTCTTCTAGCGGAGCTTGGGCATCCTCAACCGAACCCAACTCCTCTCTTTTGTGACAACCAAGCTGCCATAAGCCTCTCTCACAACGCCGTCCTTCACGGGCGAACCAAGCATATCGAAGTGAAGCATCACTTCATTCGTGAGGCGGTTGAGAAGGGTGAGGTCAAACTCACTTATGTGAGCACCAAAGCTCAACCGGCGGATTTCCTCACCAAGCCACTCCCTAAGGACTCGTTCAGTGCATGCTGTGAATGTGTTGGCTTGAGCACCTAGTGGCTTGGGTGCAAGGGGGAGTGTTGGAGGTTGCGTGGGGCAGTTTTGCCCCCAACCACCAAGCGGTGCTGTTTTTTATGCTCACTTTCGAGTGAGCTGCAGGTTTGCGTGGGGTTGAAGTTTGACTTCGGAAGACTCCACCAATTCGGTGCCACATGGCAGCATCAGGAACATTCGAGACTCAATGAGAATTCGGTTCGGTGAGAAGTTTAAGTTCCAAGTGCTCATGATGGAGCGGGGACTTTGGGGTTTCTTCGATGGAACGGAGAAGAAGCCGGACAATGAGAGCGGCATCGCGGCATGGAAGAAGGACCAATAGGCGTTCGCTAATTTGATTTCGCGCATCGGCATCAATCTCGTGAGCTCGGTGCGCATGTGCATCAAGCTCGAAGCGTCGGCGCATGAAGCGTGGAAGCGGCTCAAGACGATGCACGTGAACAAGACTCTCCATGGCAAGATCCTAGCCCGGAATGCGTTCTACACGGTGAAGATGCGCGCGGGCGAATCGATGCACGAGTATGCGACTCGTGTGGAGGAACTCGGGGAAACGTTCATGGACCTCGGTGGAACGGCCACGGAGGAGGATTGTATTTTGACCTTGCTATGCGGCCTTCCGGTAGAGTGGTCGACGGTGATTACGACACTCGATAGCGTGCAAGACACATGGACGAAGGAAATGGTGGTCGGTCGGCTTCTCCATGAAGAATCGCGTCGCCGACAAATTCGCTAATGAGAGCGAGGGTGCCGCCATGTTTTATGGAGGGAGTTCCGGAAAGAAGTCCATGTGGAGCAAAGGTAAGACGAAGAAGTCGTCCGGTGGAAGCGATCGCGGCAAGGGAAACACATCGAATGACTCGAGCAAGTGCCACTATTGTGGCAAGGCGAGACACTTTTGGCGTGAGTGTCGGAAGCGCCCGAGCGATTGGACTCCATCGAAGGCGCGGAACCACGAGGGCAATGCGCATACGGCATCCGGCGAGGCGGATGATTCAAGGGAGTCAATCGTGTTATTGGCGGGTGACGGGACCAACACTCCAAGCAACGCATGGTTCCTCGACACCGGCGCAACACAACACATGACGCACTCGGCATCGTTCCTCACCAACGTTGGTGCACCGGGGGACGTCACGTGCGTCGTCTTCGGAAACGACAAGTTGCTACCGGTGGTTGGAGTTGGGAGTACGCGACTCATCGTCGATAGCGGACCGGTGGAAATCACGAACGTGCTTCATGTCCCAGGGTTGAAGGTGAATCTTCTCTCCGTTTCGCAACTTGCGAAGAAGGGACTTACCTTCACTATGGACGATGCGAAGATGAACCTCTTTTGGAAGGGGGAGCAATTCACACAAGGCGTTCTCAACGGAGAACTCTACCAACTCAAGACGCATCCGAAAGCGGCTTCATCCAACGTGGCGCAAGGCTCCAAGGCGACTCTCAAGGCGTGGCATAATCAGCTTGCGCATGCCAACAACGAGTCGGTCAAGGAGTTGGCCAACAAAGGACTTGCGAAGGGAGTCGGCGTGATTGCCGGCGACGACGAGAAGGGCGTGTGCGTGGCGTGTGTCGAAGGAAAAATGGCTCGCAAGCCATTTGGTAGCCGTAGCTCACCCCTCGCTAAGGACCCGCTTGCGCTTGTTCACATGGATGTGTGTGGACCGATGCGGCATGCATCAAAAGGAGGAGCGCGGTTCCTCTTGGTGATGCTCAACGACGCGACGCGGATGTGTTGGACCCGGCTCTTGAAGGCTAAGAGAGATGTGACCAAGGCGATTCAAGAGTGGGCGCTTGAAGTTTGCGACGACGACAAGAAGCGGATCAAGTCTATTCGCACCGACGGTGGCGGCGAATTCGTGAATGCGGAGCTTGAGAAATCGATGAAGAGCAAGGGCATTAAGCACGACGTCACAACCATCTACACACCCCAACAAAATGGAGCGGCGGAGCGACTTAATCGCACGTTGGTGGAAGCTGTTCGTTCACTTCTTCAACACTCCAAGCTTGGAAGCGAGTGGTGGGGTGAGCCGATGGGAGTGTCGAACGCTACAAGGCGAGGCTTGTAGCTCAAGGATACACTCAACGGGAGGGGGAGCACTATAGTGAGACATTTTGAACTAAACAATAGAGTGCTCTATTGTTCAGTTCAAATCCCAAGTTCCTGCCAACTAGAGGAGAGTCCTCTATAACACAATCAACTTGTAATGAGGGTGTGGTGAAAACTACCTTGCTTATCCCATTTCATCTTTGCTAACTAGGTAGTGATATTGTGAGAGGCAAAAGAGCAGCATCTAACACGTGACACGTGCATATAAGAAGCATGTCCATTACACAGCTGTACAATTTCTCGCTCCAAACGCCCTATACGCTGCATGCGAGGTTGACACTTACAGAGCCCCTGAAGTGGCGAGGGACGAATGAACATATTAGTGGCTATGGCTTGATTCATATGTGAAAGGAATGCACATGGTGTGCACGTGCAAAAACATGGATGATAACAGAATGTACCTACCAGTTGCCACCGTGGTCTCCAAGCGTCTTAGAGGAACCCGAGTAAGAGTGTGCCCATATCATATTGTTCGTGCCAGCATAGTTGATCGGCGAAAGGCCTGTCTTGCCGCTCCGGGTAAATCTGGAGACCAGGTAGGAAGTCGAGTAAAAGAGAATGGCATTTGAATTAAAGGTTAGGATGATTCTTCTGAATCTTACGGACAATCTGCTTCACAAACACGCGTCGTGCATCACTGAACGTATCTCTGTGCTGTGGCGCATGGAGATTCTCGAGGCTGTAACCAAACCATTTTATCTAAAAATACTTGGAAAAAATTACCGTGGAAACGATGCTGTGAAAACGGACTTACTTGATGGTTGTAGCCGAGGCGCTATTACTAATGGATGTAGCTGTCACTTTGAACGCGGATGATGGCACAACGGACGACATGCTGTAACCGTTTAACGCGTACGCCTTTACTCTGGCAGAGTTCGGTGTGGGTAAATTCCCCACGACCGCGTCTGCTGGGAACATCTGGCCGGGACTCCTTGTCCAAGCAACGGACAGCCACCCGTTCTTTGCGCCACCGCCAGCCTGTGCGACAATGGCGCCGTAGAGCGTCGTGCCCACGATCTTCCAGTGAAATAAGAGCCTGTGCCAGGGTTAGGTTTGGATGAAAATTCGAGTCAGATTTGGAGATGCGAGGTGATTTACAACGAGAGATCCAACGCCTCAAACATCTTCAACGTTTTCAATCCGACGCTGCAAACTGCGTCACTGCAAATGTTTTGCAGCTCTACGTTTTGTCACATCGTATTGAACTGTCGGACTTGAATTTTAAAAGAAACCAGGGAACAATGACGTGGTGGCAAGGACTTACTTTGATTTGAGCGTAACCTTCTTCGCGAATCCAGGGAGAGCCGATTTGCTGCACGGAAGTGCATTCGTGTGGTACTGAGTCCCGTTTGCCAGAGCCACGCCGCTCACAGACGCTCTCCCTGCCGTCACTACAGCTGCGTCTGGTGTGAAGTGCCTTGCGGCAAGAGCAACCCTGAACGCCGATAGCACAGTAAGAGTCGCGATGAATGCAGACACAAGCGTCATGTTTATAGGACCGTGTGCCATTAGAGGTTACGCGTCAGAATCCGGAGAACTGAAGTCAGAAATAACAATTTGAGCTGTAATCTGTGTAAATCAGCTGAAATTGGACAAAAACAAAGGCCAGTGTCGAAATTCAGCGAGTTCTGGTCTGCTGGGCATCTGTGGTTGTGGGCGGGAAGAGTGGCAATCACTTTTCGTGTTTATACCAAGCCCGAACCGCATCTGGGTATTTCGTCGCGCACATAGTTTGCGACAGGTAGGATACTGCGAGGAAAAGGTTGTCCCCAGTGTAAGTTGTAATGTTGTTTCGCGAGCGTCGTCGCGTGCTCGCTAGAGCATTCCACGACAATGCAACTGGTTGAGCGATCTTTGCGGCGAAATTGCTCCCTTAGTGATGTGGAGGGCGGTGCCCAAGTTTCCTCAGATCCCCTGGTGCCACGTCAGGAAACAGGTGACACCGAATGCTTTGGAGCAATCACAAGCAGAGACGGGTCAACGAAGATCGGTCAACCCTTGACAAGAGGCTTGAAAAAGGCTGAGGTGGCATTTACCGTAACTGAATTACATGGAAGTGGAAGGCGTCAACGTTTGTTGGGCCATTCCAAAGACCAGACGAGGGGAATTCTGGGGACGAGTATGCCGTGTAGACACAGCGCCCTCCCCGTAAGTCCGTCTCACCTAAAGCTCTACAGCAACATGCATTTTTATATGCCACAAGCTGTTTGGCTTGTCTTGAGAAAGGGGTCAAGAATGAAAGCCTGAAAGGAGCCAAAGAAATAAAGAAAGAAAAAAATCAATGGGAAACGAACAAGATGTTGTGATTAAGAGGCATCTGTACGAAAAATGTGTAATGCACTGACCTCGCTTGCTGCTCCCATGTCATTGTCCTCATCATCGTTGTCGTCAACATCGAGCTCAACCATTTTCTCCGTTGGTTGAAAGCGTTGCTCCCTCAACATCCAATTAGGGCTCTTCCCCTGGTTCCCCTGAGTCACCAAACCTCTACCGACTACTTTCCCCCCCCTAGCCCCACCATGAACATTTCCTCCATCCTCGACCACCCCTCCCCCCACTTCACTTCTAATAACCCCATCTTGAACATCCACCCCTTCCTTGACCCCTCCTCTCACACTCCCTCTTGGTAATAGCCCCCCCTTCCCAGAAACCCCACTTCCAGTAGCCTTACTCACTGTCACCCCGCTCCCGCACCCCAGTGTCTCACCCCTTACAGTCCCATTTTCCACGCCTTTTGCTCGCTTGAGCGGAGGAACATACGGAGCCTGCTCCTCATCCCCCGATGCCGCGGCCAGAAATCGTTTTCCCTGCGACACGGGCCGGCTCGTGAGGTTATCCTTCTCCCTGAGAATGCACCTCAGAGCATCTTGGTCCAGAGCAGCCACGGGCCTTGCCCCCCTCCTCCTGCTGCTCCCGCTGCCACATGTACCATTGCCCAGTAGCACCTGCCGGGACCGCCGAACGTTGTTTCGGTAAAGGAACGCAGTCGAGAGGTTCCTGCAAGGTGTGATTATAACGAGAAATTTGCGGCACATGCCAGTATGTTGCATTTATGAACAGTTTCTTTGAGGGTGTGATTATATGGAGAGAACTGGTAAGTGTGGGTGGTGGTGGAGGTGGGGGTAAAACAAGCCTTTAACCAGGACAGGGGAGTATCAAATCGACATGCTGAAGCTGCATTTCAGGATTCTCAAATGCTAATCCTAGACTTTAACCGGCAGTGGCAGGGATTTCCATCCACACTCACCCTCCGTCAAGCTCGAGGCGGGTAGGCTTCATCTTCTGATACGCTGCTGCAATGTGGCGGTCGCAGTACTCTGCTAGGGTTCTGAGAGTGGAGGGCAGGAGATGGGATGGGGGGGCGGATGGGATGCGAGGGCGGATGGGATGGGATGGCGTGAGGTGAGATAGTGTCGAGCTTGAGGCGGGTAGGCTTCATCTTCAGATACGCTGCTGCAATGTGTCAGTCGCAGTACTCTGCAAGGGTTCCGACAGTGGAGGGTGTGGGATCGGAGGGCGTGGAATGGGATGGATGAGGTGAGATAGTGTCGAGCTCAAGGTGGGTTGGCTTCATCTTCTGATACGCTGCTGCAGAGTGCTGGTCGCAGTACTCTGCAAGGGTTCTGAGAGACGAGGGCGTGGGATCGGAGGGCGTGGAATGGGATGGATGAGGTGAGATAGTGTCGAGCTCAAGGTGGGTTGGCTTCACCTTGTGATACGCTGCTGCAATGTGCCGGTCGCAGTACTCTGCAAGGGTTCTGAGAGGAGAGCGTGTGAGATGGGATGGGATGGGAGGCCGGATAGGATTGGATGGCGGATGTGATGGGAGGGCGGATGGGATTGGATGGCGTATGGGATGGGAGGGCGGATGGGATCAAAATTGGCTGAGGTGAAAGGGTACGTGATGGGATGGTTGAGATGCGATGGCATGAGATGCAAGGTATTGGTCACAACACTCTGCAAGGGTTCTGTCAGTAGTGGGCATGCGATAATGGACGCGAGATGGGAGGGCGTGAAATGAGAGTGCGTGGGATGGGAGGGTGCAGGATGAGGGCGCGGGATGGGATGGGATGACACATGGCATGGGATACGATCATAGGATGGCATGGGGTGGGATAATAACGCTCACTTGTTGATCACGGAATTGCAAGGTTCGTTGCCCTCCGTCACCCCCTTGCATATGCCAAAGTCTCTCGCAATGCCAACTGGCAGGATTTGATTGGCTCGGAACACGCGGAGAGACGGCGGAAGGTTCTGCCATGGCAACACGTGGGTGAGAACGTGCGGGGAGTGTGAAAACGAGTGTTAGTGAGCGTGCATGTGCGTGAGTGTTGGTCGAGTTGACTTTTGAGTCGACTCAAAAGTCAGAGAGCGGCGGAAAGTACTGCCATGGCAACATGTGGATGGGAACGCGTGGGGAGTGTGGAAATGAGTGCTGATGAGTGTGATTGTGAGTGTGCGTGAGTGCTGTTCGAGTGTGTGGGAGCATTGATAAAGTTCTCACACACACCCCCAAGAACTTCTGAGGCACCTGGAAAAACGTCACCCCAAACAATAACACAGTCTCCTCCTCCACTCCTCCCAACCTGGCACGCTCCCTCTGTTGCCCCCCTCTGCTGACCCCCTCTGTAGGTCCCTTGACTCACCCCTTTTGGCGGGCTGGCTTCGGCTCCCAAGACTGCCACCACCGTCCCCATCTCCTGCTTGCAGTACACATCAAACGCCGCCCCGAACAAGAGCAGAGTCACCTCTTCCACTCCTCCTTGCCCGCCTCCTCCTCCTTTCCCTCCTCTCCCCCCTCCTCCACCCCCTCCTCCTCTGCCTCCCGCCAGAGGACCAGAGAGACAGGAGAGCTTCCAAGACATGAACGGACGCGAGGAGGAGGAGGGTTTGGTGGCGGTAGCAGTGGCTTTAACGGTGGCAGAGGGTTTGGTGGCGGCAGTGGGCTTAGCAGCAGCGGAGGGTTTGGCAGTGGCAGTGGCTTTAACAGATGAACATCCGGATATGACAGCAATGGTCGCCCACGCCCCTGCCAGCTGGCTCCTTCCGCCAATCAGAGCGGAGCTGGAGCAGCGCAGGGGGGTTGGGAAGGTGAGCAAGGGAGAGGAAGAGGATGTGAGAAGAAGGCTGTGAAACACATACAACGAATGAGCCGAAAGTGTGAAACACATACAACGAATGAGCCGAAAGTGTGAAACACATACAACGAATGAGCCGAAAGTGTGAAACACATACAACGAATGAGCCGTAAGTGTGAAACACATACAACGAATAATGCAAAACGCAGAAAGCACATGCACGTACGAGATGGCTTCGAGACGAAGAAAGCGAATGTCGGCCAGAGGATGAGACACATCACGACACGTGGAACAAATATCTGTGTCTCAGAAACGGCTAGAGAGCATTTGAACAGAATACATCGGACGCATGATGCGAATGCACGTACGAGATGGCTTCGAGACGAAGGAAACGAATGTCGGCCAGTTTCTGCCTGAGCTGCGGTGCAGAGATGAAACGGTTCCTGTTGGGAGATGAAACGGACAACAGTCACCAAAGAGCAACGCATATGAGAATCTTCTTTACACTACGAGCTGCACCCCTGGTACTGTTGAAATAAGTTGTTTTGTTCCTCTATATCGCTCATTCGCATAAAATGAACTTCTAAGACGAGTGAAATCCTCAATCCTTTCGAGCCTTCTGCCTCACCTCAGGCGAATACCCGAGTGCTCTTCCACATCCCCCACACTCCTCTCCTTCGCTCTCCTCACTGCACTCTCTATCATGGTTGCAGTTGTCGCATCCCTCCCCACGGATTCCCACTCGCTGGAAACCCCTCCAGATGAGAATACCGAGCCACCTGTCAAACCCCCTACCACTGCCATCCCTACTTCTGTCACTCCTGGTGCTGATGCTCCTGCTGCTGTCCTTCCTGCCCCTATTGTTGCTGCTGTGGTTGGTGCTGCCATGGCATCATGCTCTGATTCCATTCCAAAACAGGCGGCTGATCTCCTTGCTGCTGCTCCTGCTGCTGCTGTGGCTCCTCTCTCTGCTGTTGCTGCTCCCTCTGCTGTGGCTGCTGCGGCTGCATTTGCTGGCGTCGTTGGTCTTCCTGCCAGTGGTGCTGCTGCTGTGATCGGTACTGCTGTCGGTGGTGGTGGTGGTGGTGCTACTGCCGCTGCTCCTGCCGGCCGTTCCATCCGTTCAGATGCGACGGCTGGAGCGACGGCCGAACGGAAGGCGGAGCTGCTGGGAGCACTTGACTTTACCGCAGTAATCGGAACAAATCCGTTACCCAAATTGTTACCCGGTTTTTTACCCAAATTGTTACCGCCAATGAACTGAAACCCCACACCTGATCCAATGTCTCCCCTGACGCCATTAGAAACCTTGCGACCTGAACCCCCAACTGAACCTCCCACTGAAACCCCTGCGTTACTAGCAAACGCATTACTTCCCATGTCAACAGTCTTCTGAAGACCTGAAAAACTGAAGGCCTGTAAACTATCCATGCTACGGCCAGTGATGATAGCCCCACTGCTCTTTCTTCCGTCCAAACCGCCTGTCCCAGCTCCACTTAGAAAAGGAGTTGCGCCACTGGGGCTCGGAGCCATGGAACCGAATCGTGCAGTTTCGAACTTAGACGTCGCTGGAGGAGCGAAAACGCGAGCTCCTTTGCTCGGAGGGGCTCTTTTGCTGGGAGGAGCGCCTCTGCTGAAAGCAGCTGTTCTGTTTGCATGAGACCCTCTGGTCGGAGGAGGAACGGAAGCGAATCGAGCAGAGGCGGTCTGCAAGGATGACGAAGGCGCGAAAGCAGGTGCCTTTGAAGCGAAAGCAGCGCGTCCGTTGCTGCCGGCATTCGACGAGACGTTTTCAGAAACGAAGCATTTGAAAGCGGACATGTCCGCCGGCCCTGACGGCTGTAAGAGCTCGTCCTCGCTGTCGTATCCACCCGAACGATCTCCGCCGTTAGATGCGGGACAATCGTGATCCAGAACATCAATGTCGTCAATTTCGAAATCTGGGTCCAGAGCATGATGAGAGCTTGGTGATGATCCTATCTGGCCGGTATGCGGGGTCTGATAAGTCATAGCCGCTTCGTCGAGAGGCCCTTTTTCTAAACCAGAGTCGAAACTATCAAGAGGTTCGTTGTCTAGCCAAGGTTTAAAATAGTTTAATCGGCAACCGGAATATAAATCACGAACAGGACGATTTCTGGTGGACTGAGATATTTCCAACTACAGACGGTGTAATCAGCCTGGCCGAAACTGTCAGCCCTGATTGACATAGTCAAATGGCCAAACGCCATCACCTTCGACAACCTTGGTTTCTCCGGGTTCGAGCGAGGTTGACGAACTTGGAACAAGCAAAATCAAATTTGAATTGCCGTAATTTGGGCGACTTTGGGAGGATGCATCGCAACCGTGTAATCGCCCCACCCCTCCTTCACTCTTGATCTTGCCCGTCTAATCACCAGCCCTTTCTAATCTGGAGTTGCGTCACCGTGAGGCCAATTCGGCCAATTTGCTACACTGAAGATAACCTCATAAATATGAATAGACCAAATGTAAAGCACAAGCCTGTTTGATTAACAAGCAACTCGCCTTCTCCTCCGATTGCAACAAATAGAACACAGAAGGCAGGCGTAAGACGCCAAATCCGGAATCCTGTACATCCATGCACCCTGCAATTCATAGTACAGAAACGAATGTCGAAACACTAGTTACTGTACAAACCTTACAACACGCACGCACGACAAAGAAGTGGCCATCAAGACAGACACAAAGAATGTGTACGTGGTCAACATGACTGCGTACCTCAGGGGAGTACTGCCCGGCCAACAATGGGGCTTGTTCTTGCGACCCACTGGCGACATCTCCACGTACAAATGCCTATTCACATGCATCATGCACCGGGACATAAGAACGAGATGGGCGGGATAAGATTGTTGGCGCATGAGAAGGTGCTAAAAGTGAACATGCCGAATATTTGTGCTCTGGTCTGGGGTAACCCCTATGAGCCTGGGAGATGCAAATACTATGAGCAAATACTGGAACTCACCACATAGGCATAGTGGTTCCTCAATAATGCTACTTTTGAGGTGCCTAAAAAAAAGTTAACACACATGAAAAGCTGTGAGGTGCATGCATAACAGCTCAACGTACCTGGAACTCAGTTGTGATCTTTTCCTCCTTGCAATCGTCAGGCCTGGGACTGACCTGGGACTGGCCTGGCTAGAGATGCAACTTACCTGGGAATTCTAGAAAATGGCCTACACAAATGCAAAACCGTGAGACGCCTAGAAATGCAACTCACCTGAAACTCTGCCACGTAGACTTCCTGCTTCCTGGTTTGTAGAGACCCAGGCCTGCACAGATACGCAGCGAACAGGAGGTAAGCAACAGGTGGCAAGAAGCAGCTAAGCAGGCGCAATGAGAAAAACGAACAAGAGGTGAGAATTGTGCAGCACAGGAGATAACGGGGCACTCTCATCATTGCACTCTCATCACGTTGCATGGAAGATAATGGGGCACTCTCATCACGTTGCACCTCACCTCATTGCTCTCACAACAGCCACAGCCTGCATCAGCAAAAGAGAAAGGGAGGTACAGAGGGAAATTCACAAAACGGGGAGGGAAGCCTTTCAGCATCAATGCGTACCCCAGACAGTTTGCGAGCATTCGGAAAACACAAAACGAGGAGCCTAGGAGTAAAACACAGGAAGTACAGAAACTGAATGGGATGGCTATCGGGGAAAGGGGGGAGTGGCTTACATCAGCAGCTGATAGCGAGTTGGCTGCAACCAAGTAGCATGCAATGACAAGGCCCGTCCTTCCTGCACGATCAAACAGTTTCATGTAACACGTATGGTTTTCAAGACTGTGCGTTGTGCAACAGGCAAGCACGCTCGGAATGAACAGATCCATGCGAGCAAGTTGGAACGAGTTTGTTGAAGCTGCTTTGATTTGAACCGTGATAGTTGTTTTGCATACCTAGGCCAGCATGGCAGTGAACAGCCACCTGCATCAAGGAAACAAACAAAACAACATCAGGTGATATTGATCAGCCATTGTTGAGAGCCTGGAGACGAGGCATGAGCAGTACACCTAGACGCTAGCAGTGAACAGTACACCTGCTACGAATAGATGCACTTGAGTAACTACGATACGAATACAGTTTTTATGGATTGCACGAATAACATCCATTGCTTGCACAGATGGCATACCTTGTGGCGGCGGCCAATGGCGAGGGAGATGCTCTGCACGATGGAGAGCATGGTTGGGAAGGGCGGACATGCCATGTCCTTCCATGGTGCATGCAGGTAACCCACTGCCCACACAGGGACGGACGGATGATAAGGGGATGTTAGTGCAGGAGTGGTGAGAGGGGGGGAGAAGGTGAGTAGCATGGCTGGGAAGGGCGGACATGCCATGTCCTTCCATGGTGCATGGAGGTAACCCACTGGGCACACAGGAACGGACGGATGATGTGGGAGATGTTAGTGCAAGAGTGGTTGTGAATGAGAGGGGCGAAGAAAGTGAGTAGAATGGTTGGGAAGGGCGGGCATGCCATGTCCTTCCATGGTGCATGGAGGTAACCCACTGGCCACACAGGGACAGACGGATGATGTGAGAGATGTTAGTGCAGGAGTGGTTGCGGGGTGAGAGAGGGGGAGAAAGTGAGTGGCATGGTTGGGAAGGGCGGGCATGTCGTGTCCTTCCATGGTGCATGCAGGTAGCCCACTGGCCACACAGGGTCAGACGGATGTATGGTTATGGATGGCATGGATGTTTCTGTCAGTGCAGGACTGCTTGAGAGGGAGGGAGGGAGAGGGAGACAATGATAAGGACAGAGACCATCCGAAAAAGGGGGAATAAGTGAGCAGTAAAAGCAAGAATTTGGCACCAGCAAGAGCGAGTGATTGTTACTAGCGAACCTCCAGCCTTGATGAATTTGTCAGGAGTGTAGGAAAATCCTGACGCTGTGATCCCTGACCCGCACCACGGATGCTCTCCTGGTTCCTGTGTGCATGCACGGAAACAAGAAAAGGGACTGGGTTTTTGGTGTGCTCAATATGAGGGATGACATTTGAGCCTGAAAACAAACGTAACACGAGCATTGATACACTCCCAACCGTCATAGCTCCAGGTTCATGATCAACCAAGGCCTCTCAACAGCACGAAACGAAGCATCACACGAGAAATCTTCTACTCCCAGGTTCCCAACCGTCTGTTTCCCCAGTCCACAATCGACCTGAGGCCTCTCCCAATCTGGAATTCAGGAATCCAGCCCGACGGGTTAGTTCTTGAGGACCCACAAACACCAACTGTAACCAGCCTGATGCCTCTCCCCTGAACGCAACCCATCTGTACCCCCATATGCATGTATGTGTACCTTTATATGCACCCGTCTCTACCTCCATAAGCACCCATCTGTACCTCCAGGTTCACAATCAGCCTGATGCCTCGTTCCGCGAACCTATCCGCCAGCCCCTCCGCGATCATCGCGTCCGTCGGTCTCGCACACGCCAGCAGCTCGTTCGTCACCCAATCGGAGTGCAAACCGCGAAACGCCTCTTGACCGTTCTGCAACCGGAAGTCCTCGTGCCGGCACCCGGAGGGGGACCCCAGGCTTTCTAAAAAGCAGACTATCCTATCCGTGATGCCGTTTTCTTTCCAGGAAGGAGCCGATGAGTTCGCGGATGAATTCTCAGATGTCTCAAAAGTGGAATCAGTGACGCCATTTTGGTGTCTCGTAGACTCGTAAGAAGACGAGGAGGACGTGTTGGCAATCATGATATTGGAACGAGGGAATTGAAGGAAGTGTGGTGAGATACAAATAAGCTGCTGTGGTTGTCAGAAGGGTATTTCCGTCGTAATTTTGTACTTTTGGAATTCCCAATGTGCTCGCGAAATCGTTATTATATGACGGTCCAGAATACCTTGACGGTTTCAGCTGCCAGCTGGCCGAAGACTAAAGCAGTTTGCCGGCAAGTTACGACAAACGGACTATGTGTTTCAGCAGCTAACTGGTTTCAGGAGTCAATATCACCGCGAGTAGTGTCAAACCGAAGAAAGCTGCGCGAGGAATATGACAACTAAAAACCAGGGTGCACATTCAACGCGGTTCGGCTTGAGATGTTGGGAAGGGGGTTTGGAGAAAAACAGTGATTGGCTCACGAGGGGCGACAAAAAAATGATTCCGCTAGAGCTTCGGGCATTTCGTAGGTGGCGGGAGGGGGTGAAATGGCAAGTGTGGGTGAAACCGAATGGCGGGAGGGATGAAACAGATTGGCGGGAGGGGGGGGAAACGAAATTGCGGGGGAGGGGGGAAACAAAATTGCGGGGGAGGGGGGAAACGAATTTCGACGGGGAGGGGGAAATGAAATTGCGGGGGCGTGGGGAAACGAAATTGCGGGGGAGGGGGGAAACGAATTTCGACTTGAAGGGGTTGAAAGCACACCTCGTAACCCACTCAGTCAAGGGATAACCTTTGATGCACATTCAGCTGAATGTGCACCCCGGTTTAAAATGCACCTAATCGCAGAGTCAGCTGAGAGATAAATTACGGCGGACGATGCTTTATGGCGTGTCCGAAGTGAAGCGTCGATGGATGTCGCTGGATGTCGGTAAATGTCAACCCTCGGATCGAGGGTTCCAACCGTCAGGATTTACCGACATCCCCAAAACGGATGTCAATGGATGTCGACGTTCACTTCGGACACCCCCTTACTGGCTTGCTCCGGACACCAGCTTGTTCCAGCCTTCACAAATGCACTGACAGGAGAAATGAAAGTTTCAGGCATGTTGACAGAATTAACTGTCAAAACTTGGGTAATTAGCTTTCGCGGGGGTAATGCTATATATTTTGCGCTTTCCAGGAAACTACAGTACTATGTGCGCACAGTTTCCGCCCCTCTGACCCTCAGACAGGAAAGTTATTGCAACAGCACAGAACTGGGCCCCACGTTCACCCACGTGTCACAAATTCGGGAAAAAAATAGAAAACTCAGGGCAGAAAAAAATAAAACCCTTAGGGAACTTGGACTCTTTTTCGGGAGGGATCCACCCTAAACACGGCGGAAATTACCAAATTAGGGCCGAAGAATAGTAGAGAGATGGCCGAATTAGGGCCGTATGAGTCGCACTCCTTCGAAGCAGTGCCGAACCAGCGCCGCAACTAGCCCGAACAAATTTTGAGCCTAAACACCCAACAAGCTGACGGAATTTTGTTCAGAATCAAGTCAACCCTAAACACCTTGTCGCAGAGTGTTTAGGGTTGATTTCTCCCTAAAAGCATGCCATCCAATAAGGGTTTATATTTGTTATGGTTCGAAAAATAAGACTTAGGCTCGTACCTACGTACTAGGGGTGCGACTCATGCGGCCCTAATTCCACCACTTCCCTGCTAATGTTCGGCCCCTCGATGATCTCTCCCCTAAACACGGGAACCCGCAATGTTTTTAGGGTTGATGCCACCCCGAGACGCATCCCTTTCCGATTGGGCTTTATTTTGTTTCGGTCAGGTGAATGGATTTCTTTTCCAATGGCTTGAGAATTTGTGACACGTGGGTGTATGTGGGGCCGAGTTCTGTGTTGTTGCAATAACTTTCCTGTCTGAGGGGTGGAGGGGCGGAAAGTGTCTGCAACTAGCAGTGTAGTTCCCTGGAAAGCGCAGGGTCGCTAGTAGTACCCCCGCCAAAGCTACTTACCCTAAAAAAATCGTACTTGCCATGATTCTGCCGAACCGAATGCACCAAAACTTCACGAGGGGTGCTGCTGGGCTCCCGAGCCACAATGGCGAGGCTCGATTGGCCAGATATGTCCAACCATGCCTGACGTAACTTGCCGTAGAATCAGGTTTGGCAATCTGAGGCAAGAATAGACTCGTGTTATGGTTTCCCAAGGCAAAATCCCAAGGCAAGTACCATTCTCAAAATTCGTTTTCCACAACGGTACTTGTCGCCGCGAAGCGTTTCAGCTCGGTACGGGAGTAAATGTTCCAGCTACCTTGGGATTATCATTTTCCATTTTGGATTCCCTGTGCTGCTGCTTGCATTGCATCCTGAATCCTTCTTCCTCAGCTGATTGCACTTTACCGAGGAACCTGCTAGCGGGGATTTTGAATGAGACGCAGAACAGCAGGCAATTTCACTGAACCTCTGTGCTTTTGTGCTTAGCACTGAGTTCCTCTGCATTCCTTACCTGCAGGATTCGCGACATGGCTTGTGTTTCGCAAAGTAGAGATTGATTCAATAGTGGGGGAAGCAGGGAGAGTAGAAATAGCGTGCGAGCGGAAGTAGCACGCTCTGAGATGACAGCAACCATGGCTGTGTCCGATGCAGCGGAGTGGACGGAGCTCTCCAACTGCTTCTATCGCGTACAGCCTTTGCCAGACCTGCAATGGCAGGTGAATAGCGCGTGCCACCTTCCTCCTGTGTCTATTACTAGCGCTTCGTACACGCAGACGGCCACGTTTCCGCTTGTTCATGCTAATTCCATTCCGTTAGCGTCAGCGACATGGCGATAAGCAGCATCCGTGTTGATGCTGATTCCAGTCCACTTTCCGTCCATCTACACCGTCAGCCTTCCGTATTCAGGCTTCTATATGAGCGCGTAGTAGCTGGTTCCCGATTCCTGTGAAACGCGCAGTTGGTTGTCGGTTCTTCCGCCTTAAAGGAGGGCCTATCAGACCGCATGGCCGGCTTTCGAGACGTGTATTTTGAGACGACTCAAAAACACCCCTTAATAAGGACCTATCAGACTGCATGATTGTCAGCTGTCGATACGTACGCCTGACAACTTTTTCTTTGATCATGATTCTTTCCATCTCCCGCTCCCGCTCCCGACATAGGACGTGGACCTATCAGAACTCATGGTCGCATGTGCGCCTTACGGTGGACCAATCGCCACAGTCCGCGACCCGAACCACCTTCCCAGGCGCGGCAGCAGCGCAGGCTCGGCAGCAGATTCGGCAGCGCAGGCTCGGCAGTACATATCTGTGTTCTCAGCAGCTGGGCGGCCGATCTCGCGGTTTTTGTGGGAGCCTCCAGGAGGGAGGCTGATGGGGTTGGGGTGGAGAGAGGATGCAGTGGGAGGGCTGGTGCTTGTAACGGTGCTTGAAGATGGCACTGTTCATCAGGTGAGATTATAACGGGGGGGATCTTTTCTTACCTTCACTGAACCCTGATTGTGGGGGGGGGGGAGGGGGCTGATCGGGTTAAGATGGAGAGAGGAGCGGTGAGAGGTCTGGTGCTGGAAGATGGCACTGTTCAGGTGAGATTATAGCGAGGTGGTGTGGGTGGGAGGAATAGAGAAGGTTGCTTGATCAATTTTGAATAATGGCACTGTTTATCAGGTGAGATTATAACGAAGGAATCTTTGTATGCCTTATTTTTATTTATCTTGATTTGACCCAAGCTTCAGTTCAGTTCTCCCTTACCACGTTTCTCCCCACAACCCCCCTACAACGGTGTGCAGTGTTCAATGCATGGGAAAGGCACTCTCCCTCGAATCCCCCTGCACACGACCAACCTAGAGGGCATCACAGAGGCTCACATATTTGGCATGAGAGGTGGAGGAGGGGGTTCAGGCTGAATGATTTATTTCGTTCCTTTCCCTCTCCTTCCGCTCCATCATCCTCCCCCTCCCCTTCCCCCTCCCCCGCCCTCCTCTCGTTCCCCTCTCTTCCCCCTCCTTCCCCACTCCCCACCCCTCACCCTGCAGTGTTCAATGCATGGGAAAGGCACTCTCCCTCGAATCCCCCTGCACACGACCAACCTAGAGGGCATCACAGAGGCTCACATATTCGGCATGCGAGGGGGAGGGGGACAAGGGGGAGGGGGGGGAAAGGGAGATAGAGGGGGTGAGGGTGCGGAGGGGGAGGCGAGGGATGGGGGAGGGGGAGAAGAGGGTGGGAGGAACGGAGGGGGAGGGGGAGGGCGTGTGGCGGCGGGAGTGGTGTGCTTGACTGAGAGCTGTCAGCTGCTGGCAATGGTTGACTTTGATGTGAGTATAACGAAAGAAATGGGGACGTGCGTGGAGAGGTGGATGTGCTTGTATCAATGTGTGTGATGTATGTGGGTAGTATGCGAGTGTTATGGAATGGGGTGGGATAAGGTGGCAGGGTGGTGTGCTTGACTGAGAGCTGTCAGCTGCTGTTCTTGTTAGTGGAAAGGTGGATTTGGGTGTATTGGTCTGTGAGTGGATGAGATGGGCGGCAGTGGATGAGATGGGCGGCAGTGGATGAGATGGGCGGCAGTGGATGAGATGGGCGGCAGTGGATGAGATGGGCGGCAATGGATTGCTGACAAAGGCCTGAGGCCTGCCAGTTGTTAGCAGTGGAGTGGCTGGGCTGGGATGCTGTGATCATGCTGTGATGTATGAGATCGTGCTGTGCTGTATTGGTGCGACTTTTGAGAATTCTCAAAAGGGGTGGCTGGGCTGGGATGCTGTGATCATGCTGTGATGTATGAAATCGTGCTGTCCTGAACAGCTTGTCAGACCCACCCACCAACAAGGTACCTCATCTCCCCCCGTTATGACTTTTGAGTCGACTCAAAAGTAAAAAAGTCACCTCTTTTGAGTTGACTCAAAAGTCACCTTGCTGAACAGCTTGTCAGACCCACCCACCAACAAGGTACCTCATCTCCCCCCGTTATGACTTTTGAGTCGACTCAAAAGTAAAAAAGTTGTTAGAAATAGGCTGTCAACACTTTGTGTACTCTATTTTATATGGTTTAGGTTATTTGCGGGTTGGGTGTAGATTTGTAATCCCAACCCTATCTGGTTGGGATTCCCTCGTAATCCTGCAAATCTGCCAACTCTCCAATTGGAGATTTGCTAGGATTCCCATCCCATCCTTTCCCTAGCTTTGCTCAACCCAACCTTGTTTGTACTTAAGGCCTAGTGCCTTCTTGATCAGTCAATGAGTTAAGCTCCAATTCTATCAAAAGTCACCTCTTTTGAGTTGACTCAAGAGTCACCTTGCTCAACAGCTTGTCAGACCCACCCACCAACAAGGTACCTCATCTCCCCCCGTTATCCTCTCCCTCCCCGCTCCAACCGGAGCCGGTTGTTTTCCCCAGCCGGTCAGAACTCCAGCCTATCAGAACCCCAGCCTGTCAGAACCGCTGACATTTTTGAGACGTCTCAAAAATTCACTTTTATCACGGAACCGGATGACTTCCCCAGCCTGTCAGAACCGCTGACAGTGGCAAGCGCATCCCACCAACACCCTTTCACTCCTTCCAGCTTCAAGCTTTCTCCCATCTCCTCCCCCCTGCTTTCCCCACCGAGCAGGAACCAGAGGTCTTCCCCCTGGTGGACCCCGGCCTCTCAGAGCCACTCACAATGTCAAGCCCCTTCTCCCCCCTCCCCCCTTCCTTCCCGCTCCCCTTTCCCCCATCCATTCCCCCCCACTTCCCCTCCCAACAGGAGCCAGAGGTCTTTCCCCTGGCGGACCCAGGTTTGTCAGACCCACTAGCAACGTACTCACGCGCTCCCTCAAACACAACTCCCCCTCGTTCCTCCCGACCCTACCCCACCCAACAGGAACCAGAGGTCTTCCCCCTGGCGGACCCAGGCCTCTCAAAACCGTTGACAGTTTCTAATGCCTTCAATGTTGGATTTTAGCTCTTCCCCACTCTCCCCTCCCCCTTCCCTGCTTCCCCCCATTCCCCCCATTTTCCCCCCAACAGGAACCAGAGGTCTCCCCCCTGGCGTACCCCGGCCTCTCAGAGCCACTCACAGTGGCAAGCCCATCCGACCAACACCCTTTCACTCCCCCTCCCACCTCCCCCTCCCCCTGCTTTCCCCCTAGCAGGAACCAGAGGTCTTCCCCCTGGCGGACCCAGGCTTGTCAAGAAGAACCACTAGCTAGCAGCGTACTCACCCCCTCCCTCAAACACAGCTCCCCCCTCGCTCCCCCGGCCCTACCCCCCCCAACAGGAACCAGAGGTCTTCCCCCTGGCGGACCCGGGACTGTCAGAGCCGCCCGCCTGCATGGCTGTGTTGGAGCCCGTGCTGACGTCAGCGGATGACGTCAGCGCGTCCCAGGTGGCTGTGCTGCTGGGAACGGAGGCGGCTCTGCTGCGGGTGGATGGGGAGACGGTGCAGCGCGTGGTGAGTGGATGGGGGGAGAAAAAGGGTGTGAGAAGAAGAGGACGGGGCATAGTTATAGTTGTTTTACTCAAAGTACAGATGTCGTTCTCCTTAGCACGGATGCTGCTCTGCTGCGGGTGGATGGGGAGACGGTGCAGCGCGTGGTGAGTGTAAGGGGGAGAGGGAGTATTTGGTGATTGGATGGGGGAGAGGGAGGATTTGGTGATTGGATGGGGGAAATTCGGGGCGCAAGCGGCTAGTCAGTTGGTTGCTCAAGAGTCTCCTTGCTTGGCACGAAGACTGCTCTGCTGCGCGTGGATGGGGAGACGGTGCAGCGCGCATTGTCTCCCATTCTCATCCCCCCTCTCCCTCACCTCCCCCATTCTCCCCTCCCCCAGTCCCTCACCTCCCGAATTCTCCCTTCCTCCTTTCTCCCCTCCCCCATTCCCTCACCTCCCCAATTCTCCCTTCCCTCATTCTCCCCTCCCTCCCCCCCCTCCCCTCCCCTCAATTGCTCGCAGGGTGCCCCAGAGATGTCCACAGCAGTGCAGCGCATGGCAGTGTCAGCTTCTGGGAAGCTTCTGGCGTGCTTCACGGCTGATGGACAGCTGCATGTGCTGCTGACGTCAGACCTCTCTAGGCGGATCTCCCACTATGACACTCAGGTGGGAGGTGGGGTAAATAGACCCGAATTGTTAGTAGCACTCGGGTAATTACCGGGTAATCATCACCCCATAGGGATAGCTTGACGTCAGACCTCTCCAGGCGGATCTCCCACTATGACACTCAGGTGGGGGATGGGGTAAATAGACCCGAATTGTTAGTATCACTTGGGTAATTACCGGGTAATCATCACCCCATAGGGGTAGCTTGACGTCAGACCTCTCCAGGCGGATCTCCCACTAAGACACTCAGGTGGGGGATGGGGTAAATAGACTCCGATGGTTACAAATACTTGTGTGGTTACACCCTTGTGGGTTAGTCTGACGCTACTATGACACTCAGGTGGGTGGGTGGGTGGGTGGGGTAAAAAGACTCGGATTGTCAGTAACACTTGGGTGATTACCCCATAGGGGTAGCTTGACGTCAGACCTCTCCAGGCGGATCTCCCAGTACAACACTCAGGTGGCGCATGGGGTGAATAGAATGTGGTTACAGATGCCTGGATGGGTCTCTCTGACACCATACCTTTTCGAAGTACCCGGTTACAGATACCTTGATGGGTCAGTCTGACACCATACCTCTCCAGGAGGATCTCCCTCCCTCTATGTCACTCAGGTGGGAGGTGGTGTAAATAGACTCGGATGATTAGAACCACTTCTTTCCTGGCAGCACCCCCGCCCCCATGCTCGTGGGGTCCTCGGGACGTCATCAAGCACTCCCTGTCCTGCCCACGCAACCCTCTTTTCCCCCGTGTCTCCACTGCTTGTTTGCAAATCGTGTTGCCACCTGACGCCATGGCATGGTGTGGAGAGGACGCGGTGCTGCTCTCCTGGCAGCACCCCCCCGCTCGGGCCTCATCCACACACGGATACTCTCTCCCCTCTCCCTCCTGCAGATCGTGCTACCACCAGACGCCATGGCATGGTGTGGAGAGGACGCGGTGCTGCTATCCTGGCAGCACCCCCCTGCCCTCATGCTCGTGGGCCCTGGGGATGCCATCAAATATTCACTAGGAGGGGAAGAGGACGAGGAAGAGGAGGAGGAGGTGGAGGGGGAGGGGCAGGAGGAAGAGGGAGTGGGAGAGGCAGTAGGGGAGTTGAGTAGGGGCCGTGCGTTCGGCTTAGCAGCTCTTCGCAGGTGTGCAGCTCTTCGCAGGTGTGCAGCTCTTCGCAGGTGTGCAGCTCTTCGCAGGTGTGCTGCTCTTTGCAGGTGTGCTGCTCTTCGCAGGTGTGCTGCTCTTTGCAGGTGTGCTGCTCTTCGCAGGTGTGCTGCTCTTTGCAGGTGTGCAGCTCTTCGCAGGTGTGCTGCTCTTTGCAGGTGTGCTGCTCTTCGCAGGTGTGCTGCTTGCTCACCCCTTCTCGTTCCCCTGCCCTCACTTTCGAAATTTCTCAAAAGTGACTCAAAGTACAGAAAGGGGGGGTGAGTAGGCGCCCTGCGTTTCGGCTCGGCAGCTCTTCGCAGGTGCGTTGCCTGAGACGGCTCCAAATGAAATAAAATAAAATAGCCGTCACCTGCTTGCATGCCAGGTGCGCTGCTGCCTCGTTCTTTTGAGTCGACTCAAAAGTCTCTTTGCAGGTGCGTTGTGTTGCGTGAGACATCTCAAAATGAAATAAAATAGCCGTCATCTGCTTGCATGCCAGGTGCGCTGCTGCCTAGTTCTCATCCCTCCAAGTCTTCTCCTTCGCCTCTCCACACCACAGTCACACAGTGTGCCAGCCCCAGCATCAGCTCTTGATGCCAGCACCACCACCACCAGTCGCCTCATTCTCATCCCCCCACCCCTGCTGCTTCCCCTCTCCACACTACAGTGTGCCAGCGCCAGCATCAGCTCTTGATGCCAGCACCACCACCACTACCACCACCACCAGCGGCAGTCGTCTAATCCTCATCCCCGAGTGTGACGGCGTCCGCCTCCTCTCCTCCTCCCACTCTGAATTCATCTCTCGAGTTCCCGAACCCACCGTAGCCGCCTTTGCCCTCGCCAGCACAGCACCCCCGGCTCTCCTACTAGAGGCGTTTGGGCTATTTGAGAGGCGGTCGGGGAAGGCGGATGAGCATGTGAGGGCGATGGGGGTGGCGGTGATGGGGGAGGCGGTGCGAGGGTGCATGCACGCGGCAGCGCATGAGGGGGATGTGGATGGGCAGAAGCGGCTTCTATCTGCTGCTGCCTTTGGCAGAGCGTTCTGCAGGTGAGCTTGCAAGCTAGAGTAGCAGCCTAGACTCTTGCCAGCACCGCCTGCCGACACCACAGTGCAGCGCATGAGGGGGATTTGATGGGCAGAAGCGGCTTCTATCTGCTGCTGCCTTTGGCCGAGCATTCTGCAGGTGAGACAGGATGGTGGAGTGGGGGATGTGCTGATGGGCGTGGTGGTGATGGGTTGTAAGTGATGGGGGTGGTGGTATAGGCTGTCCCCTTGTGTATTCTTCTGTAATTCCATTTCCATGTGCCGAATGCGCACGTCTCTTCTCTCCATCCCCCCTGGGTTCCTCCCAGGAAGTTTCCTCGTGACCGCATGATGAGTCTGTGCAAGGACCTCCGGGTGTTGAATGCGGTGCGGAGAGCGGAGGAGGACGGGCTCACCAATGGCGTGAGGGCCATGGAGACAGCAGGCATGCCGCTCACGTACTCACAGTACAAGGTGCGCACAGTGCATGGTGCATGGTGCATGGTGCTTGATGCATGGTGCATGGTGCATGGTGCGTGGTGCGTGGTGCGTGGTGCATGGTGCATGGTGCATGGTGCATGGTGCATGGTGCATGGTGCATGGTGCGTGGTGCGTGGTGCGTGGTGCGTGGTGCATGGTGCATGGTGCGTGGTGCGTGGTGCGTGGTGCGTGGTGCGTGGCGCGTGGCGCATGGGGCATGGTGCATGGTGCATGGTGCATGGTGCGTGGTGCGTGGTGCGTGGTGCGTGGTGCGTGGTGCTTGGTGCATGGTGCCTGGTGCCTGGTGCGTGGTGCGTGGTGCGTGGTGCATGGTGCCTGGTGCGTGGTGCCTGGTGCGTGGTGCATGGTGCATGGTGCCTGGTGCGTGGTGCGTGGTGCATGGTGCATGGTGCTTGGTGCGTGGTGCATGGTGCATGGTGCATGGTGCGTGGTGCGTGGTGCGTGGTGCATGGTGCATGGTGCATGGTGCATGGTGCGTGGTGCATGGTGCATGGTGCGTGGCGCATGGTGCATGGTGCATGGTGCATGGTGCGTGGTGCATGTTGCATAGTGCATGGTGCATGGTGCATAGTGCATGGTGCGTGCACCAGTTGTGTGTTGTGTTTTGAGATGCCTCAAGAGGTGCCGGGTCGGGTTGGACTGGGTCCGGTCGGGTCGGGTCGGGTCGGGTCGGGTCGGGACGGGTCGGGACGGGTCGGGACGGGTCGGGTCGGGTCGGGTCGGGTCGGGTCGGGTCGGGTCGGGTCGGGTCGGGTCGGGTCGGGTCGGGTCGGGTCGGGTCGGGTCGGGTCGGGTCGGGTCGGGTCGGGTCGGGTCGGGTCGGGTCGGGTTGGGTCGGGTTGGGTCGGGACCCGTTGCTCATGTCTAGCTCCATGCACTCAAGGCCACTCATGGCATTTGACCCGACCCCCCCATCTGTCCCACTCCTCAACCCTCAGGACCACTCCCCCATGCCCCTCATCAACCTACTATACTCCACACACTCAAGGCCATGGCATGGCCATCCAAGCTATGCTACTCATACTCTCGTCCCCGTCTCTCCCCTCCTTCCGCTCTTCACCTCTCAGGAGCTCTCTCCATCACGCCTCATTGCCCGCCTGTGCTCCACGCACCACCACCTGCTCGCCCTTCGAGTCGCTGCCTTCCTCGGCCTTCGCACTGTGAGACCTTGGCACCACCCTCACTCCTCACTCCCTCGCCCTCCTTGCTCCCTTCCTAAATCAGCACTCCGTCCTTCACTCCTTTTGAGGCGCCTCAAAAGTCTAAATCAGCACTCCGTCCTTCACTCCTTTTGAGGCGCCTCAAAAGTCTGAATCAGCACTCCGTCCTTCACTCCCCAATCTCTCCTTCACTCCCCAATCTCTCCTTCACTCCCCAATCTCTCCTTCACTCCCCAATCTCTCCTTCACTCCCCAATCTCTCCTTCACTCCCCAATCTCTCCTTCACTCCCCAATCTCTCCCTCACTCCCCAATCTCTCCCTCACTCCCCAATCTCTCCCTCACTCCCCAATCTCTCCCTCACTCCCCAATCTCTCCCTCACTCCTCCCTCCTTCGCTCACTCCCCACTCCTTCCCTCACTCCTCCCTCCTTCGCTCACTCCCCACTCCTTCCCTCACTGCTCCCTCTGTCATTCCCCACTCCCTTCTTCTCACTCCCTCCTCCTCTCTCACGTGCCCCATCCCGCCCCTATTGCGTTCACTTGTTGCCTTGTCTCTGCGGACATTCACCAGGAGGGTGTTCTGCTGAAGCACTGGGCGATCTCCAACATATCTTCGTCTCTCTCCGTGCCTCACTGTCCCGCTCCCCGCTCTTCCCACCTCCCCTTGTTGGCAAATATTCATCAGGAGAGTGTGTTGGAGCACTGGGCGATTTCCAAGATCCTATCTGCGTCGCAAATGCCGGACGAAGTGCTCTACGACACCATTATAAAGCAGGTGAGTCACTCTATAGCGAATTAGAACCATTCACTTCGTACTTTGCCCACACTTGTATTACCTGAATTTTAAACTTATTTATGTATGTACTGCCTTATTCCCTCTCCCCCCTCCTCCTCCCACCCTCTCCAGATTGACACGGACAAGAGGGGCAGCCTGGCTGTGTCGTTTGCAGCTGTGGCTACAGTGACATTCCACACATTTGCTTGATGCAATGCATGCTGCATCAATGCTGGTACTGCATCTTCCTTTACCACCCTCCACCACCCCTTTAGATCGACACGGACAAGAGGGGCAGCCTGGCAGTATCGTTTGCAGCTGTGGCAACAGTGGCGTTTCACACAGGCAGGCACGAGCTGGCCACACGTCTGCTGGAGAGGGAGGTTCACACGGGGAGGCAGGTGAGGGGCCTCTTGGAAAGGAGAACCATGGTGGCAAGTGCGTTATCGGCAGTGCCGTTTGCAGCCATGGCCACAGCCATGTGCCATGGCCACAGCAATGTGCCATGGCCACAGCAATGTGCCATGGCCACAGCAATGTGCCATGGCCACAGCAATGTGCCATGGCCACAGCAATGTGCCATGGCCACAGCAATGTGCCATGGCCACAGCAATGTGCCATGGCCACAGCAATGTGCCATGGCCACAGCAATGTGCCATGGCCACAGCCATTCCAACAGCCGTCCACTCAGGCAGGCATGAGCTGGCCACACAACTGCTGGGAGGGAGGTTCACACGGGAGAGGCAGGTGCGTAGTATGAAAGACAGGGCAGATGAGAGATGGCAGCGACAGGTAAGGTAGAAGGGTAGGGATGGACGGTCAAGGACAGGTGAGAACCTGAGTCGTGTTTTGAGTCGACTCAAAATACGACTCACGACAGGTGTGGTAGCAGGGTAGGGATGGATGGTCAAGGACAGGTGAGAACCTGAGAGGGAGGTTCACAACGGGTGGCCTTTGACTTTTGATTCGACTCAAAAGTCAGCTTTTGAGTCGACTCACAAGTCAGCTTTGAGTCGACTCAAAAGTCACAGGTGTGGTAGAAGGGTAGGGATGGATGGTCAAGAGACAGGTGAGAGCCTGAGAGGGAGGTTTACAACGGGTGGCCTTCCCTCCTTCACCTATCTCCCTTCTCCATCCCCCTTTCCCCAGGTTCGTCTTCATTTGGATATGGGAGCGTTTGTCGGTGCCTGGATATTTTCTTCTCTATACTTCATCTCCCTTCCTTCCCCTCCTTCCCCCTATCCTCTCTCCCTCTAGGTGCGCCAGCTGTTGGAAATGGGAGCGTTCGAAGCAGCTTTATGGAAGGCAGAGGGGGGGGCAGATGCTATGCTTCAGGGGCCTCAAAATGTTTGTCTCCTCTTTGTCGTTTCTCTCCCTCCCCTCCCCTATCATCCCTCCCAACAGGTGCGACTGCTGTTGGAGATGGGAGCGTTTGAGGCAGCTTTATGGAAGGCAGAGGCGGGGCCAGATGCTGACTTTGTGTTTCAAGTTCTATTTCAACTTCTCGATAAGGTGAGAGAGTTTATGATCCCTTGCTTGCTCGCTGCTCCATAAGGTGTGTGTTTGGCTGACTCGTTCAGGGCAAGGCGGATCGATTCTTGCTGCTGCATTTTGAGTCAAAGGCGGACTTGCTGTCAAGTGCGCTTTCTGGTGTGGTATTTGCACTCACGCTCAACCCAACCCAACCCGACCAAAACAAACTGTACCCAACCGCACAGGCACCAGAGGAGCAGGTGTTTTGCCTGCTCAAGAGTCACCCCATCACCCTAGGTGGTAGTTGGTTGACCCAACCCACATGGTAAACCCATCCCAACCAACCAACCCAACCCAACCCAACCAAACCGCACAGGCACCAGAGGAGCAGGTGTTTGAGCTGCTCAAGAGTCATCCCACTGCCCGAAGCCTCTTCATCTCATACTGCAAGTAAGCGCCCTCTCTCAACATACTAATATTATCATACTGTCAAGTTGATTTCTGTTGTTTTCCTTTCTGTGCCTTTAATTATATTTCAATTTGTTCATTTGTTTGTTTATTTCTCACAGGAGTTTCTGTTCATATCTCACCGTAAACATGACAATTCTTACCATGTGCTTCCTCTCCCTGTTTGCTCCTTTCCCTCTCTCTGTGCTTTCCCAGAAAATCTGACATTCCTCTGCTCATGCGATTCTATGAGCGCTCCTCCATGCACCAGGTGATTTGGCAGGTGGTGTATCAGGTGATTTGGAAAATAGTGTTCCCAGGTCTTTTGGCAGGTGTTTTTAGGAGATAGGGTGTGGTTCACGAAATGTGATGCGCCTGAAGCCACGTGCCCTGCATTGCTATCTTGTGCTCACCGCCTCGCCTCTTGCGCTCCCTCTTCCCATCCCTCACCCCTGTCTCACCCACTTTTGAGGCGCCTCAGAAGTCCTCTTGCGCTCCCTCTTCCCATCCCTCACCCCTGTCTCACCCACTGTGTGGCAGAGCAGATCGTGAAGCAGGGATTGCAAGAGGGGATGAACAGGTGGGCGGCAGGGGCGGTGGAGAGGGTGAGGGAGCTCGAAGCAGCAGCAGTGCTCTCACCCAACCCAGCTCTCTGCATTTCCTCTTTCCACCCCGTGTCGCACTCACTGTGTGGCAGAGCAGATCGTGAAACAGGGAGTGCAAGAGGGAATGAACAGTTACGGCGCAGGGGCGGCAGAGAGTGTGAGAGAGCTCGAAGCAGCAGGGGAGCTCCTCCCAGCCAACCCCTCGCTCCCTTTCTCTCTCACGCTCCCTTTTCCTCCCTCGCTGTTGTTGCACTCAGTGTGTGGCAGAGCAGATCGTGAAACAGGGATTGCAGGAGGGATTGAGCAGGTGGGGGGCGGAGAGGGTGAGGGAGCTGGAGGCAGCAGCAGAGCTGCTCTCAAGGACCAGGGACCATGGGTTTCAGTCAAAAGCGGTGGAAGATTCCGTGAAGCTTCTGCGGTGCGTGTGGGGTGTTTCGTGGTGTTGCGGTTGGGATTGGGGATGATGCTGATGCTGATGCTGATGCTGATGCTGATGCTGGTTTCAGCAGCAGCAGCAGCAGCTCCATCAAGCACGGACTTATCTTGAGCGCACTGACCACTGCCAAATGCTGCCCACCGCTGTTTTTCCTTTGCTTTAAGCCTACTGCACGTGCGCAGCTCACTGAGACATGTCTGAATCTCGCACGGACTTATCTTGAGCACACTGAACTGAACACTGCCAACTGCTGCCCACCTGCTAGCTGTTGCAGCGGTGGGCTGTGATGCCTCGTTGCACAGAAGGGGGCTCATACAATCTCCTTACTCTTCTTTCCCCCTTGTGTGACCCATGCCCGTCTCTCTCCCACCCAGCTTTCAGCAGCAGTTAGAAGCAGCAGGAGTGCACCTGGCCGCAGCCACCACCACCGCCACTGCCACCGGTGCAGGGGAGGGAATGGGGATTGGAGAAGAGGAGGGCAGGAGGAGGAATGTGGTGGGAGCGAGTGTGAACGAGACGATTGCGGCTTGCCTAGCCGCGGGGAACCACAGAGAAGCTCAAAAGCTGAAGAGCGATTTCAAGGTGAGTCCTGCTTTTAAGTTTGAATTTAAATGACTGTTCAGTCGACTCCAAGTGACTTTGTTACCGTAGTCGACTCAAAAGTCATCACAGGGAACCACAGAGAAGCTCAAAACCTGAAGAGCGATTTCAAGGTGAGACCTGCGTGTGTCACCCTCCTTGTGGTCTCTAATGCATGGCAAAATAAAGAAAAGCATGAAAAAACTTATCGCGGAGAAGAACGGCCCGAACGAACTGGCTAAGACTGCAGGCACTAGCTCGCATAGGAGCGTGAGAGGGGCTGGGGAAACGTGTTTTGAGTCGACTCAAAACACGACTCATTACATGCAGGCACTGGCTCGCCTAGGAGCGTGAGAGGGGCTGGGGAAACGTGTTTTGAGCAGGGTTAAAAAAAAACGACCGTATTATTGAAATTTCACTGCAAAAAACGGTACCGTAAGAATCGATCGTAAAAAACGGTTTAAATCGGTTCCAGGAGGGGTTTTTTGTTTGAAAAAAAATAATGGCCGATGTGTGGGGCCAAATTGATGGCGAAAGGTACCAGGATGAAGAGGACGAACCCCTCCTTGCATGTGTACACTTGTTGGCATGATTGAACATGTATCCGGCCTTGTTTTTCCCTTTTTTTTCTTGGTGACAACAGTTTTTTAACAAAAAAACGCCGTTTTTTTTTTATTACTGTAAAAAACGGACCGTAAAATACGAAAACCGTATTTTTGAACCTTGGTTTTGAGTCGAATCAAAAAACGACTCATTACATGCAGGCACTGGCTCGCCTAGGAGCGTGAGAGGGGCTGGGGAAACTGTCTAAGGAGAGACAACCTCTCTGGTGGTCCTGCCGGTATTTTCACCCCTTTGCACTCCCACCCACTCCTCTCATCCATGGTCTGTATAGGTTCCAGGGCAGCGCTGCTATTGGCTCAAACCACAGGCTTGGCTCGCCTGAGGGACTGGGAGGGGCTGGAGAAGCTGTTCAAGGAGCGACACGGTTTAGCGGGCCTGCTGGTATCCCCACCCCCTTCCATTGCTGAACCGCCCCTGTGCTTGTCACTCCCCTTCTTCCACACGCACAGGTCCCCGAGAGGCGCTACTACTGGCTGAGACTGCAGGCTCGGGCCCGCTTAAGGGACTGGGAGGGGCTGGAGAAGTTGTTCAAAAATCTTCGGCCTGCGGTGGCCCTGCTGGTATCGCCACCCCCATTCCATCATCTACATTCTGTACCCTTTATAAGCAGGTTCCGGAGAGACGTTACTACTGGCTGAGACTACAGGCTCTGGCTCGCCTGAGGGACTGGGAGGGGCTGGAGAAGCTGTTCAAGGAGCGACGGCCTCTGGTGGGGCTACTGGCATTGCTACCCCCCTCCATCGCCAACCACCCCTCCTCCACCCCCTGGACGCACCCTGTGCTTGTCATACCCCTTATAAGCAGGTTCCAGAGCGGCGCTACTACTGGCTGAGACTGCAGGCTCTGGGGCGCCAAAGGGACTGGGAGGGGCTGGAGAAGCTGTTCAAGGAGTGGCGGCCTCTGGTGGTCCTGGTGGTATCCCCACTCCCCTCCTTCCATCATCTACATTCTGTACCCTTTATAAGCAGGTCCCCGAGCGGCGCTACTACTGGCTGAGATTGCAGGCCTTAGCTCGCGTTAGGGACTGGGAGGGTCTGGAGAAGCTGTTCAAGGAGCGGCGGCCTCTGGTGGGCCTGTTGCAATTTATCGCCTGTACTTCATTTTGTACCCCTTATAAGCAGGTCCCAGAACGGCGCTACTACTGGCTGAGACTGCAGGCTCTTGCTCGCCTAAGGGACTGGGAGGGGCTGGAGAAGCTGTTCAAGGAGCGACGGCCTCTGGTGGGGCTGCTGATATTTTCACCCTCATCCAGTCCAAACCAAGACTTGTATCGTCTACAATTTGTACCTCTTATAAGCAGGTCCCTGAGCGGCGCTACTACTGGCTGAGACTGCAGGCTCTGGCTCGCCTAAGGGACTGGGAGGGGCTGGAGAAGCTGTTCAAGGAGCGACGGCCTCTGGTGGGGCTGCTGATATTTTCACCCTCATCCAGTCCAAACCAAGACTTGTATCGTCTACAATTTGTACCTCTTATAAGCAGGTCCCTGAGCGGCGCTACTACTGGCTGAGACTGCAGGCTCTGGCTCGCCTGAGGGACTGGGAGGGTCTGGAAAAGCTGTTCAAGGAGCGGCGGCCTCTGGTGGGGCTGCGGGCGTTTGTGGAGGCGTGTGTGGAGCAAGGCGCTGTAGTGGAGGCTGCTAAATACGTTGGGAGAATTGGAGATGCGGGGGAAAGGGAAGAGGTGAGCAGGGGTTGAGTTGGGTGCAGCAGGGGAGGTTTGTGGTGAGTGGGTGGGGTTGAGGGCTTTTGTGGAGGCGTGTGTGCAGCAAGGCGCTGTGGTGGAGGCTGCTAAATACGTTGGGAGGATCGGGGATGCTGGAGAACGGGAAGAGGTGAGAAGGGGTTGGGTTGGGTGCAGGGGAGGTTTGTGGTGAGTGGATGTGCATGCGGGCGTTTGTGGAGGCGTGTGTGGAGCAAGGCGCTGTGGTGGAGGCTGCTAAATACGTTGGCAGGATTGGAGATGCTGGAGAAAGGGAAGAGGTGAGAAGGGGTTAAGTTGGGTGCAGGGTAGTGGTGAACTGGTGGGCCTGAGGGCGTTTGTGGAGGCGTGTGTCGAGCAAGGCGCCATGGTAGAGGCTCCTGAATACGTTAGCAGGATTGGAGATGCGGCTGAGTGTGGGTGTTTGTGGAGTTGTGTGTGCAGCAAGGAGCAGTGCTTGGAGCATTAAATTTGCTGGCAGGATCAAGGATGCGGGAGAAACGGAGAGAGATGAGAAGCTGAGTGGAATGGAGGGAGGGGAAATTGGGAGAGGTGAGAAGGGTAGGAGAGAGAGAGGCTAGATCTGCATGGGGTAATCCCCGTATCCTCGCCATCCCCTCTGGCTGTTAGCCTTTCTTTAGTGCCCTCTTATCCACCCACCTCCATACTTTTATGTCCAGACTCACTTCCACCCTCATTCCACACTGCCACCCACACAAAACCCCACCTTCCCCAACGCAGCTGTCGCGACGGTTCAACCTTCCAGACCTGACATCAGAAGCAGCAGCTGCCGCAGCAGCAGAGAGGGGCGAGGGTGCAATTCTCGGTACTCTGCGATCCTTTGCCGCTGCTGGCAGCGCTGCAGGTGCTGCTGCTGTTGCCGCCAACCCCACAGCTTCCTCCTTTTTCGGTTTCGGCAGCTTATCGTTCAGTGGTAGGGGTGAAGGATGAAGAATGTGTAGTAAAAACTGTTGAGATAATATGAAGACTTAAGCACTTCAAGGATTCGTGTAGTACAGTGCGAGACTTCGCACGTAACAGTAAAGTACCGATAGGCTGAAGTCAGCAAAGCGCTACGCGCCCTAGGATGACGTCAGCACGTAGCTATAGGCCTCACGAATAGTCACGTACCTTTTCATAACAGGAATAGCGTGAATAATACAATACAGTAGGCGAACAGGTACTTTACTCTAGCTATATATTCTGTATGCTTGTCATTTTATAATATATCTGATTTCAGAGACATTGATCCTGAAACATATCACTACATGGGCTTTTATTAGTCCAGACAAAGCCTCCTATAACTGGCTTTAACTCATACAAGACTTCCGCTACGACAGGAAGCTACCATCCTAAGTATTACGATCCTACTCAATCATTTCAAATTCTAACATGGTATTGCGAGCGTCTTAGGATTCTACAAGCTTCCAACTACATACTCTGCAACTACGGTATGTCTGGCTCTCCACGATCCAACAACGGCTCTTCTATTACGAGCCCATCACGCCCAACAGCGTCTCCAGTTGCTGATAATTCTTATCTGCAGCAACAACGTCAACAACAACAATATCAGCAACAACCGATGTACAGCATGCCACTGAGCAATCAGCCCGTACACACAACCGCAGCAGCGGCATCATCGGCAGCAGCCGCAGCAACAGCGGCATCAGCAGCCACAACAGCTGCAGCTGCAGTAACTGGTTCTACTAATCAACCAGGACAACAGTCTAGTTTTGTACCGACTGGACCATATCAGTATCAAGGTGCTTACCAGCCAACAAATCTTCAACAACGTGTCAATGCTGCCGTCTTGTCACTTAACCAGATGTTTCCAACTCCTATGAGTCTTGATGGTTCCAGTTATCAGCATGGACAGATGCCACAAGGGAGCGACGGGTCGAATAACTCCTTCTCTTTTGTTCCTGCTGGACAAGGACAACAAGCACCACAAGGGTCACAGATGCCATCGCTTTATCAGTTACAGTCAGCTGACGGCACTGGAAACTATCTTCCCGCCTCTGCAAACCCAACAAAGATTAAAACGACAATGCCATTTAACGGTCAAGATTTCTATACCTGGTGTTTTGAATTCGAGCTTCTTGTTCAGACCGCGGGATTCTGGCCGTTGTTCGACTGCACAGCACCCTTTCCATCTCACGGCTCACCACTTCAACAGGCTACTTTTCGATCGGCGTCGCTGACTGCATACACAGTTCTCGTTCGCAATCTGACACCGACTGAACAGCTTGGTATCCGTCCTTTTCGTACCAGTGCCGCTCCCGCTGAAGCAGCTTGGTTATACCTGCAAGGGGTTCACATGGCAAAGGACACCGTCAACCAGAGTAAAACTTTAACGCAGCTGTCAAATATACAGATGATAAACGGCGAGAAGGTGACGCAGTATATCAACCGCGCTCGAAATCTGCGCGACCAGCTTCAGAAGTGTGGAGGATACTTCCCCGACGCTATGTTTCACACGGTGCTACTCGCGGGTCTTGGACCAGAATGGCGACAGTGTCGCTCTATTCTTCGGATGCAAGCACAATTGTCCGAGGGGGCACTCTGTGCCGCTCTCATTGCCGAGCAGCAGGATATGGACCTGCACAACGCTCGAGGAGGGAAAAAGGTGGTAAACAACACAGTCAGTTTTTATTCTACTCCACGTCACAAGCCCGTTTGTTCCTTTTGTCGCAAAGCAAGACACACTATCGATACCTGCTGGTCGAAGGATAAACCATCTTAGAAGCGGTCTGCATCGAAACACACCAAAGATTCTTCAGGTGAAGCTGAGAAGCCGGAAGCTGCGAAGCAGAACACTGCCAAGCCGAACTCTCCGAAGCCGCCTACTACACCTACCAAGACACAAGCGAAAGAAGTTAATAATTGTGACACGACTCTCCGAGGAGTGTGCAGTGCAGTCGGCAAAGGTCGTCATCGTAAGGAATTAATCGGATCCCTCTACTGCGCCAACGCTTTGCCAACTGCTTAATTAGCTGTGTGAACACGAAGGGCGCTGTAGCAAGCCCGAAGGGTAGTGACAGAAACTGGTATCGTTGGCCTTGACGGGAAAATCCGAGGAACCGCCAAAATGACGGGTGAATGTCCACGTGGTGATAACCCGACTTGAGGTCGATGGTGAACAACCAACCGACTAGGTCGGGGACCCTGTTGAGTCCTTCGTACCGGAATCGAGGGATGGAAAGGAATGAATTTACATGCCGTAGGTCCAGTATAAGTCGTTTCTTAGAAGGCTGAACAACCACGTTTAGTGGGCTAACACAGGTGACCGGCTCCTCGGCCGGGACGATGCGGGCCGCGCCTGAAGCAAGTAGGCCAGCCACTGCTTCGACCGCGAAAGCCGTGTGTTGCAACGCTCCCGAGTGGTTCGGGGCATGGTGCGGGGTAGGTTCGTGTGACCGCCACGGTAGGCGATACCCCGACACAATGACTGACAAGATGAAGCGTCTCGTGCACCAGGAGTTCCACCATGTGGAACGTTCCCGCAAGCGTCCTCGCATGTGTCGCACATCACCTTGTGCCTTGATGTGTGGCATGAAGCCAAATTCTGGAGGGGGATGGGTAAGATCACGCACGGGATTAGATTAGCATGTTATATGATTATCTAGTCATATTAAACGCAACTCGTTGTGGGGAGATACCATCCTATGACCATGGCAGACGTGTAGGGCGCACATGCCCACCCATGTGTCACCAAATTGTAGAATCCATCGTCTCTTTCAATCGGTCTCTCTCTCCTATTTCTTCTCTCTGTTTGTCTCTTTCCTTTTTCTCTTTTCTCTGATTGTGTCTCTCTCCCCCCTTTTTTTGGTTTTTCAAGAGCGAAGTTTAGGGGCGTAATGCATAATCACGCTCTCAGTTATGATAATCTTCTTATTTGTCTGTTTGTTTGTTGTTTGTTGATTTTTTTTTTTTTTTTTTTTGCATGATCTCTTTTAAAATAAACAACTCTTGACATTGATGTATATCGGGAATGTTTAGATCGACGGGTAAGTCCAAATAGTCTTTATAATAAAGAAAACAACCAAACACAAATCTTAAACAATCTTAGAAGGTTGGTTGGCCCCTTGGCCCCGCTGCGGACAATCGGCTATTCCGTGACCGGGCTCTCGGCAATAGAAGCAACGCCCATCGCCATCCCTACGCCAGGTCCAATGGCGTTCCCCTTGGCCTCGATTACGAGGTGCAGGGCTTGGACGGGAAGTGGATGTGGGCCCGCGTGGCCTTTTTTTGCTGGCCGCCACAATCTGGGTGGCGGCCTTAACGTTTTTATCTTCCACCACCTCGCCGTACTTAATCTTTAAAGCCATGTTGGCTACTTCAAAACCGCGCTGATCCGCGGTAAATAATAAATGAATCTTTTCTTCAGCCTCGTCAATGATTTGCTGAAGGTAATCAGCGAGTTGCTCGCCACCGTGGGAAGGTAAAATCGAGAAGGCATGACGAGCGATAGCTTGAATGCGTTCAAAGCTAAAAAGTTGAGTACGAATGCCGTCGCTTTTGACGAGTGAGGAGCGTAATTGAGGACGTGCAGGAGGTATGGGGGCAAGACTAATGGTTGCTGGATTGGCCTTGAGACGAGTGGTATTACCTTCGTCGAGGTTCTCAACGTTGTCGTGGTCGTCGTCGTCGTCACCCTCGGGATTAAGAGGAGGAGGGGGAGCGCGGGGACGGGCTGCTGCTGCTGCGGCAGCTGGACGAACAGGATCAGCTGTTGCTGCGGCTTCACCGTTGTTGCCGCGCTGAAGCGCCGCGAGAAGGCCGATCACGTGGCCGATTGCGTCGTTATTATTTGCTGCCGCTCCGGTGTTGTTTCCAGTGTAGCGCGCCGAATAATTCTCGGGTACACGGCGCCCTGTAGAAGCGCTGGATCGCGCCATAACGCGTTCGCCGCCAGTTTCAGTGAACATTCGCCTCAGATTCTGCTGGCTGGCGGGGTCAAGGCGAGCAATGATTTCAGCGATTTCGGCAATCCCAGCTGCCGGATTCTGCGGATCTCGCTGCTCGCCCTGATTCGCGCGCCGATTTGAAGAATCGGGGCGGTGATCCTCGCGTGCTGGCTCCCGAATCTGACGCTCGCCACGCGCAGGATCCCGCTCGCGACTTGCACGTGCAGAATCGCGGTCGCGATCTGCACGTGCAGAATCTCGCTGATTGCGATCTGCACGTGCAGAATCGCGATGATTGCGATCTGCTTGTGCAGGACCGCGATCATTGCGGTCTTGTGCTTGGATTGCAGGACCTTGGCGCGCGGGGGCGTTTTCGCCTGGCTGAGGCGGGTCGTTGGTTGCACGTGCCGCTCGCCCCTCGACATGAAATCCGGGGGGCCCACGCTCGTTACCAGGTCCGTCGGCGACGACATTAGGTGCAGAAGGAGGAGGCTGTCTCGCGCCATTCAACAGGTCCAGCGCGGTCAATGTTGCGTTTCCGCCATTTCGACGTGGCGATCTTGAGCGATCGCGGGAGGAAGATGCGCGATCCTCATCTCTTGGCGGGGAAGCACGCCTTCCGCTGCTGCGCGTAACCATTCGTGGAGCGGGGGGTCGGCCGGTTACTGCGGAAACAAAGCCAGACGCCATGGTTGAAAACCTGACGTTGATCACGTCGTTGATTAAAGTGCTCCTATGCCCAACTCTAGGCATAGGAGGGGTTTAGGGAGTGTGCTGGTGGTAAGCAAATTGGAGATCTGAAAATGCAAATGAGACTAGGTGGCAGGTCTGAGAGACCTGCGGGAATGAAAAGGAGTTTGTCTCCTTTACAGCAAACTCCTCTTCTAGTCGAATCACAATCTTCAAATTTTTAGAAGTTTAACTTTAAAAATTTTACATATTGCATGACGTCAGTTTCTACCGTCTATGATCCTGACACTGAAGACCGTATTCATAGTAACTTCAACGATGAACTCAATACGCCCATACCACCCGAGGTCTACG